ATAGTGATGCAGCCGGCTATGGACCAGACGGGTGTGAGCGCGACCCAGCACCTCCAGTCTTCCAGTGCAACTCGTCTTCCGTCAATGCGACCAGCGATTCCTCGTCCAACTGGATTTCGCACGAGTCCCTCCCCGTCACTGACGAACGGGATCAATCCGATGTTATCGTGCTCGTTTCCGTGCAAAAAACGCCGGGCTTCCAGCATCGCTACCGCCGCATCCTGCGCGGTCTGCAGCGCGAAGCGACGCTGATGACAGTCGAGAACGCGGACCAACTCGACTCCGTCATCTGCGAGCACGAGCGGCGTATCACCGCATTCATCGTCACTGACGCCGCCATCATGGAACCGCAGCACGAGATGCTCACCTTCCGGCTTGCGGGTATCGTGACACTGCCTTTCAACGCGTGGTCCGTAATATTCGCCTTCGACTTTGCCATCCAGGCTGCTGCCATACCGGACACGTTCGCCGCTTACATGCACCGCAACTTTGATGTCACCTGGAAGATTCGCGGCGTCACGCGCAGCCGCACTGTCGCTAAGATGGACAGCATCAACCTCACCTGCGTTCCGGGCCGCAAATACTGGTTCAAGTATTGGTTAAAGCGGGCCGTGCTGCTGAGCGATATCGACCTCGAAGATCGACTGATGGTGCTCTCTCCCCGGCCAACGCACAACCAACGCGGTCCGCTACTGACGCCGTCATCATCTTCGCCGTCGTTCGACTCGACGACACCGGGGGCGTCGGACGATGACGATTACTATTTCCCTCCTGTTCCTGCGTTTACGGCTTCCGTCCGGAATGCGCGTCTGGTCCGTGAGTCGGCGCTGCGCATGGTTGATGTCAACGAGTACCTCAACGACACTCCCGTGGCCTTGCGCGAGAACCACCGCGTCAGCCGCCCGCCCGAGTGCCGCGACTGGTCCGGGTATCTGGGGTTTGTGGGCTATTCGCAGGATCATAAGCATTTGGCGAGCATTATGCTGGGGATGTGCGGGGTGTGGAAGCCAGAGGCTCGGCGGATGTGGGATGAGAAACATGCAGGAGGATCAGTTTACTGTGGTAATAATAATGTGGCTGAGGACTGGAGAGAGTTAAATGACCAGCAGGTCAACTGATCAGGGGTGGCCAGTCTCTAATTTATCAGTTATGACGGATGGACGAGAAGAGAACAGTTTGTTATTCGAATCTGCGCAACAGTGGCAATGACATCGGAGGGAATACGAGGGTAATGTACGAGTGATATACATGGAATGAAATAAGATGGAATGGAGTGGAATTCAGAAATGAGTACGATATGCAGAAAAGAAATGAAAAGAAAAGAAGAAAAATGACAAGAAATCAAACGAGTAAAGTAAATCCACACTTCAGTTCATCTTAAGGAAAGTCGTCCACCTAATATTACACACATACATAACCTGACCACGTACTCTTTCATCTTTTTTTTTTCATTGGTCTATGTTCACCCCAACTTCACATAATCCGGAAAATACCGCTCCTGAATCCTCGACGCATACTCGAGGATGACGGGGTATTCTTTTAGGAGGCGTTGGGATTGGGGGCCTCTGTATGTATACACCAAGCAAAATCAGTAACGCCATCAACAAAGAATCTTGCAATTTTTAGGCAAGTAGGGGGATAGGACAGTCTGACGTACGCAGTGCAAACGAGCGTGGAGATGATGAAGCCAAACAGCGTAGCGTCTGCCTCTGTGGGTTCGTCTCCTGCGAGGAGCCAGAATGGTTCATCATTTTTGTCACTGGTGGTATTTTTTGCTGCTTTTGCTTTTGCTGCACTCAAAACCTGACTGATACAATCCCAGATCTCGCGCTGAAACGACGCGATCTCGTCATCCGTGTACCGCCCCGTCCCCTGGCCGTGAAGCGTGTGCGTTATGTTCCGGTAGACGAGCAGTCCGACGACGACGCGGAGTGGATAGGGGACGGACGCCAGGACGTGGTCGCGCATGGTGTAGTAGTTTTGCGTCCAGCGTTCGCGGCTCTTCGCCATGAACGTATCAGTTAATAACTTAACTATTCCAAATCTAATTCTGGGTTATTTGTTGTTAGACGAACAGAATAAAAATAAAACTTCTCCTCCAGCAAAGCCCTAAGACCTAGGTCTTGCGCTCGCTCTGTCGGCGCCAACCTCGCATTCAGATCCGGCAGAACACCCCACTCGATCAGGCGTTTGATGATGAGTGTCGAATCGGCCAGGACGTGCACATCATCGTCATTGTCATTATCATCTGACGAAACACCCCGAGATGGTGATGGTGATGGTTTCTTCCGTATCGCCAAATAGGGAATCTTCCCCCTCGGCGCCTCGCGGATAGAGCCTGCTCGGTTCTCGTACGATAAGCCGGCAAAGCGTAGCCGGGCTTCGAGTTTGGTGACAAAGGGCGACCAGGTGAATTGGCCTTGGTCGGGGAAGCCGCGGTAGAGGGTTATTTTGGATGATGGAGATGGAGAAGGCATTTTGCAGCTGTATACTCCGTAGTATACTGGATGATCCAGAAATTATTTATAAGATTGACTGATTAATAAATTAATTAACGACGACAACTCTCAATCCCTCCCTCTCTTCCAACCGTACGGTACAGCACTATATATACAGTCAATTCCACCATTTCGTTTCTTTTTTTTTGTTTTCGTTCTGGCCAGCTCCAATGCGGTGTTTGTTGGTTTGTTGGTTCCACCCTCGCGTCTGTCGGCTTGTCGTAAGCCCCGTTAGTACGTGAACTTAATACCGACGTTCCATGTAAGCTCGCTCTAGCGTCGGCGACAAGGATTGCGGCGGAGTAAGCCTCGCGCTTTTGGAACGCCGATGTGCGAGGGAACGCCGACCATGGGTTTACGTACTTGGTTGGTTGGTTAGGTACATGTTAGTTACTTAGGTAGGTAAGTAGTAGGTAACTACTAACTAATAGTAACTAGGCAAACTGCTACTACTGTCTTTTCTTTTCTTTTTTTTTATCGAGTCAAAGATCAGAGGGTCCTCTTACACTTACGAACCTGCTATTACAGCTCTATACAGCTATTTATACTACCTTTAAATGTCGTGCTTTGCATCGCACGCAACTTAGCTTGATTTACTGTTAGTGAAGAGCTTCCTTTTCGTTGTCACTGCAATTCTGGGTGGTCCAAGGCAGTTTTCATCCTGGGAGTAGGCCATTTCTGTACGTTCACTGCTGTCTATTCGCTTAGCTTTTTCTCTTTTTTTTTTTATTTTCGATGCCATACAGGTAGAAATGACGCTCACAATCCCTGAATGTCCGTCCTGGAAAAGTCACTAGATAGGAACATCTGGTCATTACCCTGACGTCGAGGTTATCTTAATTTGGATCAAAAAAAGTTCACCTCAAATCGTATTTTATGTATGTGCTGTACCTAGTATGTGTGTATAATTGATGGGAAATTCCATTCGTTCTGCTGCCTGCAGGCCCCTAAAACAATTAGGGTCAATTGTTACTGCAGACTCAGAAACAAGTCCAGCATCTTCGGATAGTTTGGCGTTCCCAAACCGGTGACAGGATCCCATCTGTACAAATTAGCCTGACGTGCTCTCTCTTTTGTCTGAAGAATGCCTCGACTCACCCCGGAGCAGTTGAAAACCCATTCGTCCCACACCCCGGATTCGTCCCGTTGACAATGTCGTTCAGAACCTGTGGGTTCTCGTACAGCACCGGATTGATGAACCCTACCGGCCCCTTTCCCCTGGCGAGACGCTCCTCGTTGATGAGGTTGATGATCGACGCGAAAATCGGCGTGCTCGCGCTGGTGCCCCCTGACGACTCGAAGCGGCCTTGGGTGAAGACGGCAATGTTGTCGCCATTCGCTGCCACGTCCGGGTAGCCCCGTCCCAGCCGGTTGTAGAGACCGCCGTTCGCGCCGAAGCTGGAGTTGCCCTCGTAGTAGGGATACGGCGGGTTGTGATTTTTGAAGTAGCTGGTGACAGTTAGCCAGACTGATAGTGGAAAAAGCATCGTTAGGCGAACTTACGCCGCTACCGCGTCAGCCTGGTACGACGGGACGGGATAGATGTTACTGAAGCCACCACCAGACGCGTAGGCGATCGCATACGGATGGCCTTTGGGATCATATGCCGCGCTCTCATTGTCATACACTGTGTAGCCGGGATAGATCTTGGTTGCGCCGACATTGGTAACATACGGACAGCTGTCGGACATTCTAAGCACTCAGTTTGATTTCTACTTAGGAGTATCTCTTACCTGTTGGGAAAAGTAGGGCTGAAGATCTTCTTCTCAGGCCCGAGACAGCCATTGTCGCTGTCGTCACCCGGCGGTCCGGCAACACCGTCGTCGCCAGAGGCGAAGAAGATGGACACGCCTTGAAGGCCCAGTTTCAAGAACCTGAGAACATTAGCACCGTCTTGTTAGAGAGTGTGTGTGTGCGTGAGTGTGTATGTGTGAGTAATGCATACTCATGGCATTGCCGTTGCTGATACGCAGCAGGATAATCCCACTCCTGCCCTCCGTACGACACCGAAATGACATTCGTCGGCTTGTACACCCCGCACATCAACTGTCCCTTATATCCTCCCTCTGCCGGGTCTGGATAAACCGGGTCGATTCCGGTGCCGTTTCCGCATTCGCCGAAATCGCAGAACGTGCAGTATGACTGTCCAGAATCAGATCAGCGAACTGAGAAGTAATTATTAGGCTGACTAACCCCGTCAATTGCGTCTAGGAACGTGTTGAAAAATCCGCTCGTGTAGTTCGAGGTCAGAGCATAGAGCAAATCGTCCGTCTGATAGAGAGTGATGTTCTGCGGGTAGACAATCGGATACGCGAGCTCGAAATCCAGATCCGATTCACCGCCGGCCTGTTCAACAGAGACAGGCGCTTTCGCTCCGTCGATGAAGGCCGGAATCGGGTGCGTGCCTTGCGGGATGTGGGACGACATGTTCGCGAAGAACAGGTCCAGGTCCTTCTGGGAGTAGAAGTCGCCTTCCTCGAAGATCCCCAGAGAGTTGTTGGGATGCGCCTTCGTCGCGGGAGGGATCTTGTACAGAGCCTTGATGCACTCCGGCGTGATGAGCTTGTCGCAGTTCGCCAACCCGGGAGGTGGCGCCTCCATAACAGGCCGGTTCTTTGGAGGTCGCGAGCCGGCTGATCTTTTCACGCTTCGCTCGACAGAGGTGCCCTTCTTCGACGGGGCTAATAGGATGCCCGGCTTAATGAAGTCTATATGCTGTTGAATCTGCTGAGGAACGTGATACCTGGCAAAAGTCAGCCCATTGCACCGAGACATTGGGAGTTCCTCCGCATACTGTTCACACGCGACCACTTTGTTCCCGCTCGACTTGTCCTTGTAGTTGTAGAACTCGGTATGCAAGAGGCCCTCCAGCTCCCTGCCCGTCGCAACAAAGGCCAGCCAGCCCTTGTTCTCCGTGTGGGTGATGCGCGAATCGGCAATGCCGGCTTCATTCAGCCACTGGCGCACACTGGAGACGGTCTCGTCGGACGGCGCGAAGGCCTCAATGACCTGCTCTGGCGTCCAATGCTTGCCGTAGTTGGGGGAGCTTGGGTGCGACACATCCATCAGATACTCGTACGCCTTGTCGATGTTGTTCTGCTTCAACCCCACGCGCATGATGTGTTTGGAGTTCGGCTGCACGCGACCCAGGTTCACCCACCTGGACGGGGTGGAATCGCGTTTCTCGTGGACGACATGGGAGGCAGGCGCCGAAGCAGCAGTGCTCAGGGCGGCCAGGCCGACGAGCAAGGCCGAGATGAGCCTCATTGTCGATGGACAGGAAGGTAGTCAAGCAGGTAACTCGACATTATTACTTCCATGTGGGGGACTGCAGCTCCTTTAATGACCATTCACTTAGCTTGATTCCAGTACCTTATCGCGTCAGTACGGAATAGGTTCGTACATGTATCACGCAGACTGCGTCGTAGCATCACAGGGTCCACGGGTGGACACATTGTCGACAAATCAGCACAGACGCACCTTATCTTCAGTGGCAGGATAGCAGAAACAGCTCCAATTCCTGCGAGGGTATGGTGACATCGGTGTGTTCCTGGACCAAAATAATTAATTATCGATAAGCGGGCCTATTGGCTGAACGACGCTTAGCTGCATCGACGATCCTCACGGGTACCCTATTAGGATAATAATGATACTAATGCAATTTTGAGATTTAACTATACTCCGGAGTACTCCGTCCGATAGTGAAATGGTTCACTGCATGCAGACAAAAACACATGAAATAGGCCTTTCCAATGAGAAGAGAAGATTAGGCAGTTTTGTTTTCGAAATTGTACAGATCGATATATCATCGTAGCTAGGCCGTAAACATAACTTTAGCAGAAACAATTGACGTGAGGACATGAAAAAAGGAAGAAAATATCCAGTGAGTAGAGCGAAACCAATAAATAGGTAATTAATAGTAGATAATATACACTTCAGAATCCGCAAAGTCGTTCACTTTTCGCTTTCATTCGTTTGTGCCGGAGGTTGAGACCTGTCGATCAGATGCTTCGGTTTTTTGCCCCCGTATACTGTGCACGTCACATTAGCTTGAGTCTATGACCAGACCAGGCAGTGAAAATGAACCAATTCTTACCTCGCTCATACAGAACCCAGCTGGTGTAGAACAAAATCGGCAGAGCAACGATGGTCGAGGTCCATCTGGAAACGTCTGTCAGCGTGTTTCACGGCATGCAGAGCAGTCTGAGGAAGAAAAGACAATTAAAAAAAATTACCTCCTCGCAGCAGCCTTGTACTCTGGCGTCTGTCGGATGTCCTTTGGCCGTGGCGGAGGAGTTCGCCGTGAGCCCAATTCTTTGATCTCTTGAGGGCTAAGGACCTTGGGTTTTTGACTGGAGGGACCACTCTGGCTGGAAGCGCCAGCGGTCGAAGCAGAACTGGAAACCTGGGGCTGTTGGTTCGCCATGGACGAAGACAGAACCGATGACGCTTTTATTTCTGGTGTCGTGGCGGAAACGACAGGATTGCTTGCAGTCTCGACCGCAAGAGCCTCAATGATCTTTGAAGGAGCTGCTGTAGCAGACTCAGCTGCTGGCGCAATCCTTCGATTCGAAACCCCTTCAGGTTTCTGCTCTGATTCTGGAAACTCCAGGTCTGGTCTGGACCCTTTCTGATCTCTGTCCTTGGACGAAGTTGCTTCGTCGGTGGGAATTTCTGGCTGGTGATCCGATAGTTCCGCCGCAGGAGAACTTTCTTGATTGCGAACCTTTTCGTCCTTCGCCTTCCACCTTTTCTCGATCTCCGTTAAGATCTGTGATGATGTTGATGATGCTGATGACGATGATGAGCCTGCTGCAGAAGCTGCAGTGCTGTCTTGCGACGAATTCGCCCTCGTCGCTTTTTCTGCACTCGACGACTGCTCCTGGCCAGCTCCCTGCGTTTCTGCTGAATCAGAGGCCTTCGTCTTCTTTGATGCTCGGTTCCGTCCAGAAGACGCTGCCCTGGGTGGCTCTTTCGTGGGATCTGCCTGGTTATCGTCGATGTCCAGCGGCTTTTTCGCGGCGGCTGCTTTCTTCCTGGTGACGGCAGTGGAGGGCGCGTCGTCTGCCTTCTCGGCGGGCGTCTTGCGCGGGCGGCCGCGTTTGCGGGTCACCGCTTCGGCAGACATAGCTCTCTTTTTATCTCTTAATATTCATACGCCTTTAGCAACAGTTACTGACAAATGTACTCTCTACTTGAAAATTTCCTAGCCCGGGCCTCCTGGTCCTTGAACGCGTCTAACACGGTTCGCGTCTACGTCATGGCAGGGGTAGCGCGGGAAGTCAAGGATTTAATTAAATTAATTAATAAATCTTCCAGCTTAATTATGGCAAATCTTAATTACGGCAAATGTGACTCAGGCTCAGAGTCAACCTGGGGGATTCCCCACAAACACGGCGAGCAGCACGAGTGATTCTCGACCGATTCTACTGGTCTGGAGACAGGCGATTAACCCGCTTAACGCAGCCTATTTTGGATTGCTAATACTACAGGTGTGACGGACAGCAAAGTAAAAAACACATATAGTCAATAAAGCTCTATCAAAAATATAAAGGTCATGGCACAACTAGACAAAAGTACCCAAAAGACACATTTTCATGTCGGAAAAAAATCAGGCAAGCAGCGACATCCCTAGCCACAGGCGTTCACAACGCTGAAGAGAAATCCCTCTGCAATCTCATCATAGCTCGTAGCATGAAAAAGAAATCCTCGTTCTTGCCAGGCCTGGAAAAAAAAGGAAGAAAAGCAAAAACAAAACAATTAAAACAAATAAGAAAACCCACGTCTCCGGGAGAAGCTGTAAACTCCACCTCGCACAACCGTCTGTTTGCCCTGCAAACTCGGTTGAACTGATGAGGTTTCTGGTCACAAAAAGTAAGAGGTAGGTTGTAAACAAGGACGACTCAATGATATCGAACATCGAACAGCAGCCACCGGCCCATCCGCTATGTCGTGCGGGCGTTGCTGGCCTCAGCATCGGCATTGCCCTTCGAATGGCGTTTGGTTACTAAATTCGTCGTGCTCTTGGAATGCTTGAGCCCCGAGCTTGCCCGGTGCGCCTTGGAGTCACTCTGGCTTTGAAACTGGGCCATGAGCGCCGCCGCAGCTCGCCGTCTTGGTCGTCCCTGCTCACTGGGAGATCCGACCGCTCTCGCGGGGTCTTCCCCGCTCTTCTGTTTTGCGCTCGCTGGGGTGAAGCTGGCAGCTTTGGTTTTGCTGACTTTCTCACTTTGAATCGCCCTCACGGCGGAATGACGGCGGTCTTTAGGCGTAGCTTTGTTTGAACCAGATGTCTTGGCAACTCGCTCCACGGTGTTACTTGCTTTTCCAAGAGACTGCCTTTTCTGTCGGCTCGGCGTCTTCTCTTCAGGGTCTAGAGTCGAGCGGCGCTTCTTCCTGGGCTGGACGTCTGCTGGACTGGGTTCCGCAGACTTCCCCGCAGAAGCGCCATCCAGCTGGCGTTTTCGAGAGCTGGGTGTCTCGTTTTGTCCTCGACTCGCCTCAATGGTGGCCGGAGCGCTCTGACGTCTTTTCCGCAAGCCCTCGGACCTGAGGCCGACATTGTTCTGGGTAAGCTCTCGAGAATCGACTAGGACGAGTCTCAAGCTGGGACGCTTCCTTTTCGAAGACCCCGGGTGGTCGTGCTCCCGGATTTTGGCCTGGATGTCGCTGAGCGACATCGATCGATTTATAGACAGACCCTTTTGCGCCGCTGCCTCTCGAGCTTTGATCTTCGCAGTTTCGGTTCTCACATCTTCCCGAACAAACTTCCGAGGTCCCGGCCGGGGAAGGTTTCGTTGCCCAAGAAAGGGCGGGAAACCGAAGATTTGATCCCTCTCAACCTGCTGACGAGACTTCACCTGAGGAGGCGGCGGCGGGAGGCAAACATCGCCGTAATTGGTAACTGGCCGGACCCAGACATAAGTATCGGGAACCATAACAATCTCCTCTCCATGCTCATTGACACGACCGGTGTGCGTCCATCCATCGCTATCTGTCCAAGGTCGCGGCTCGTTCGGGTGATCAAGGTTTGCGGGTGCCGCTGGGACTGACTGCTCGACAGGCTGCTCCGGAGGCTGCTCCGCAGGTTGCACCTCAGGCTTCTCCGCAGGCTTTTCCGCCGGCTGATCCGAGGGCTGCTCCATGGGCTGTTCGGCAGACTGTTCAGCAGGCTGTTCTGTAGGTCGCTCCGTGGATTGTTCCCTAGACTGCTCCGTAGACTGCTCCGTATGCTGTTCTGTAGGCTGTCCCGTAGGTGGCTCCACAGATTGCTCCGTTTGAGAGGGATTAGAAGGGGCCTCACTGTTCGAGCCTGCCTGGCCAGTCTTTTGGCGTTCAGCAAGGAATTCCTCACGAAGTTTATCGAGATCGATATCCTCGTCATTGTCCTGATCAGCATCAGAAGCCGCGGCGCACGCTAGCTCGTAGAGTTGTTTGGCAAGGAATTCCTCTTCTGTTTGGGAAGATGAATCCTGGGAAGATGAATCTCCATTGGGCAAGGCTTCAGGCCCAGGGGTGGACGCCAGGGACTGCTGAGCTGGGGTAGCAGAGACCGAGGTATCCTGACTCTGCTGTCCTTCAACTAGACTACTAGATGACTCGGCAGTCGACGGTGGATTCTGATCCGAGTCCAGCTTTCGTTTGCGGGTCTTGGGCTTCTGTTGCAAGGCCTCTATTGCCTGCAGCGTAGGTTTTCGGAGCCGGCCTGATATTCGAGCAGTCGTTAAGAGACTCTCAGGTGACGGAGTGAGAGAGTTATCATTCGACTCTCCCTGCTTGCTAGAGGCTTGGCCATCGTTCCCGTTACCTTCGCCAGCAGGAACAGGCGTCTTTGGGGGCGTGGACAATGAACGAGGAGTGGAGACGCCAGAAGATGCCGTATCTTTCGGGGCTCGTTGTCCCTTCTTGGCCGATTTCGGCTTGTCAGGAACAGAGCGTTTCGCAGAACTAGACATTTCCTCCTGCTTTGCCACGTCACTAAAACCGTTTCCGACTGACTTGCGGATCCGAGTGCTCCTTCTCTGAACCGAATTTGACGACTCGTTTGTGGACGAGACGTTCGTCTCAGGGCCTCCAGCTGGGGTAGAACCAGCTGGCGCAGTTGCATCCTCGTTTCCAACAGGATGAGAGGTCGGCGTACGCAGAGTAGACTCTGTCTGATTGTCGGGTTTGGGCACCTGGGAACCAGCATTTTCAGATCCCTTAGGGATGTTGCTTCCACTTTGGGGGCGGGTAGCAGCTCCCTGAGAAGGGGTTAGTGAAGTGGCTGAGTCTTGAAGTTGGTCGATTCGTGCGGACTTTCGAGCGCTGCGATTATTAGGTGTTGGTGTCTGGAAGTAATTTTTAAATTTAATCGTTTTCCCAGACCCTTTTTTGCTGTCTGTTCCAGTGATCGTGGATCTGCGGCCACCACGAGCGGATGATGACTTGGAGTCAACTGTAGTTGACGAGTGACCACCGTCCAACCCAGCCGCATGATTTCCAGGTTCAGATCGCACGGTCTGGGTGGACCCAGACCTGGCGTCTTCTTTCCTGGGCAAGAGCGTGGGTAGACCAGGAGTTTTAGGGCCATCAGATGCGCTCCTCGCAGGTAGGGAAGCCCGCGGATCACGAGAGGCCTTGAAAATAAAGGTCTGAATCGTTGGCTGAGAGGTTCCAGACCCAGTCTTCAGCTTCAGTATCCTCTTAGAGGTCTCGTTAGACATGCGACTACCACGATTTACCTTTGAAGATGAAACTTCGCCAGTGTCCTGAATCGCTTTCAACCCGCCATTCTTCGGGGCCCGTTCTGCATGAAGAGGCTCCCTGCGGTCATTGCTATCGGAGACCGAAGTTGGCAAGGATTCGTCAGCAATGTATCCAACATTGCTGCCTTCGTTGTTGCCATTCATGTGGATGAATTGGTCGTCCCCATTCAGACTCTTGTTTGTCCGTCGACGTTTCGCAGAATGCAACGAGTCTGGGAACGATGAAGGCTGTGGTGTCGATGGCAGAGATGACGACTTCTTGGTGACTGATACAGAGTCATGGCCAACGTCCCCGTTCGCCGACATTTCGGAGAAGGTTCGGGACAAGCGTCGGGTCTGAGGACGTCATCAGCGTTTCATATTTCAAAGTCATCACCAGGTACATACCGATGACTGATGAGAAGGGCCAGCAGGAGAGATAGTTTTTCGAACTAGTGCTTTGCCAACCACTGCTGACTCCATCGTATATTAGTACCGTATTCTTGCTGCGGGGCTGAACAATGACGCCCAATGACAGCCACGGCCATTCACCGTCTTCATGAACAACCCCAAACAAACTGTCAACCCAGGAGATTTGCAAGGTCATGCCTTACTACTCAATTCCCCAAATCCATCCGCCAGTGTGTTATAGCCCCAACATCCACGGTCACGTTGGACAGAACTCGTCAGACGGGGCTAGGGTTGAGACGGGCTCGGGATTTGACACGCAGCTCGAGGGGAGCACAGGACTCGACGACAGGAGAAGGTAAACGTAACGGTATGGAGTGCCTTGGAAATTCTTATGGGCGTGGTCAGCGCAGTTCCATATCGCATGGATGTGCGACAAAGGCAGTAAAAACGCCACCGAAAATTGGGGGCAGCGCCGTGAAACCGAGCAGAATTTCACCCGAAACAACCGCCTGCAGGATGAAAGGAATGCAGCAGATGCTTACTATGAAATATATATGCCAATATCGATCGAATGTATCCATGCAAGCGTGGATACCGGTGCATGGAGGATCGCTAAATCAGCTGGAAAGACATCACTCGAGGGCGAAGCAGGTCGCGGGATGCTCGGAAAGAACGAGTCGTAGGCAGGAGAGCAGCGTCGAAATCCCGAGGGAAAAGCGCCAGGCAGGGAGAAGACAAGTCTTATTCCATGCCGCTGGATACGTAAGAGGCCCGACAGCAGCACGCGTGACGAAGAAGGGCGTCGTAGGCGTCGAGAAAAAGAGGATGCGGATGTTTTTCGAGGAGAGCAGCAGAACGGGCAATTAGGGCTTGGTCTGGCGGCGGAAGGTCACTGGACCGCCGCTTGCCCCAACTTCTCCTTGCCGCCTGCTTAGCGGATGTCCGACCGCTGCCGTTGCCAGCGCCGTGAGCTTGCATTCGTGTTTTTTTTGACTCGGGTTTATTCTGTTTCTTCTGGGCTTTTTCTTCGATCGCAGGATGCGTCTTGTGCAGCACGCCGTGCAGCTGGCTCTGCTGGCCTTCACGGTTCCCTCTGTTTACGCGGCCTCGTGGGGGTTTAGTGATGCCACGGTGTCAGTTCAGGCCAAGGGCGCAGGCGTTGGAGCTGGTTTCCAAGAGAAGTACGCTGCACGCTTCTACTCAAAGATCTCTGTATTACTGTTCGGCATCTAACAAAGAAAACAGGATCCAGGAGAATGCGCCGTTGTCCAAAGTGGTGTCGCTCGGCGGATCCGATACGCTCAAGCTCGCCTTGACCGCGCAGGAGGGACGCAGCGCCAAACGACCACACCAGGCGTTTTTGCTCTTGAAAGACCCCGAGACCGGCCTCGATATCTCATACCCTTTCAGTGTCAAGGACAATGGCAAGGCCAAGGTCGAATTGGTGGGTTTCAGCATCACGCTGAAACGAGACGACTCGAAGCTAACGTGTTGTAGACCCAGAAGGATCTGCCGGTCCAGTTCCTCCGCGCCTCTCATCCAGTCGATGCGGAAATTGTCCTTGGGTCTTTTGGCAGCTCGAAGGCGTATCGCAACGTCGCTTTCCAACTTTCGATTGACCGCGACCCTAATGTCCCTGTTCCGTCTGCCAATGCCGAGAGATATGGAAAGCTGCCGGAGATCCATCATATCTTTAAACCGGATCCCAAGAGTCCGCCGCTGATTGTGACTCTTATTTTTGTGTTGATGGTGCTTACTGCGCTGCCTATCCTGCTTGCTACGGTATGTGGTTGCTACTATGATGACAACTGATTCCGCGATACTGACGCTGTCGCAGTGGCTCCTGCTTGGCGCGAACCTCAACCACCTCCCTGTGGCACTCAAGTCGGCGCCAGTGCCTCACGCCGTTTTCGTCGGGTCGATCATCGGTCTGGAGGGGATCTTTTTCATGTACTATACCACCTGGAACCTGTTCCAGACGCTTCCTGTTGCGTTGGCAGTTGGTGCCATTGCGTACCTCAGTGGCAGCCGGGCACTGAGCGAGGTTCTGGAGAGGCGCCTGGCTGGGTTGAGATGATTCCTATCTATTCTCATCTATTGCCATCATTGATGGAGACTATAAGTTATGACAGGATGGCCGTGCTTGAGAGCACGTATGCTTTACTGTATTATTTTCCGAATTTTTTCTTGCTCTGTTGATAGCGTAAGGGGAAATGACTGTAAAGGATTGAAATTTCCTTATAGAAAAAAATAATGCATTACCATCGGGGGTCTTTACCCAGAATGTTAATTGTCCACAACATCGCGAACAGTTGTCTCAGACCCCGTCTGACGTCACGCCGTTGGGGTCTTTGCGCGCGCCAACGGCCAGACGCCAAGCTGCAGTTCCGCATTTTAGTTTGCAGCAACTTCGACATAATAATACAATACTACTACTCGCTGCGAATTTCATTCCAGCGCATTCACGTCCCTCCTCATGGGCTCATCGTTCTCCAAGCCCATCCGGTCCGCAGTCGGCGCGGCCTCGCGCCGTCAGTACCCCAAGACGCCCTCACCGTCGACGACAGCGGCGGCCGGTCCTGGGAAGACTCAACCTCAACCCCAACCCCGACCTGAAGGGCCGACATATCACTCGAAGGAGCAGGCTTCTGCGTCGAGATCTGAAGGTAACTAGTTACCTATTACCGCTTGTTTTTTAGCTTTGTTGCATCCATGGTCAAAGGCCTTTTTCAGGGTCAATGTCGTGCACAAACACATCCATATTTCGAGCCCTATCAGAACGATGATGACTGACATGACAACCGTTCAAAACTCTAGCCATTGACCTCGACGCGCGCGATCCTCACTTCGCTGCCTCTCTGCGCTCCATCGGCCCGGTGACGCCCAACCCGACGCTCTCCAATTCGAGCACATTCAACAACAAATACCCTCAAGGGCCATCCGTCTTCCCCGACGCCGCGAACCCGGCGCTCCTGGTCCTCTCCTCGCGCGCGCGAATCGCCAAGGCCGCAGAGGAAGAGGCAGAGTCCTTTGGCCGCCAGAGCCACGAGGGGCGGCAGTTCCTGGACGTCTTGACGATCCGGAAGGCATTGTCAATGCGGGATGAACAGGGGTTGCCGGACGGGGAGATCGAGAGGCTGCTGCGGTTGAAGAAGGGGGTTGTTGCGAGGTTAGGGAGGAAGGGGCTTGTCGGAGAGGTTTGATAGAAAAAAAATATTGGGTATTGGGTTTTTGGATTTATGTTGGATGTACATGTACAGTACGACGGCGTTTGGATGTGGCATTGGACATAGGAAGATAATTGCATATACGTGTAGTATGAGATGGATTTCTACTTTATCGTCAAGCCTCACCTACACCTACAACTAGTGAGAGGACGGAATATATATAAGCGCACACAGTCTGGATGTCTTGAGGGAAAAAACGTCGGCGCAAACAACGAGAGACAACTGAGTTTTTCCACCTAGTAAGACACGACTGAACAGCAAAAAGTCATATGGGAAAAAAACAATAGGCTGACTTTATACCACCAAACTCCGTAGAACAATATTTCATTCGGACGAGAAGAGATTCAAAACTTAAAGCCTGTAGGGTGGTTTTTTTCTCTTCTATGGAGTCATCATCAGCGGCACGGTTCCCATTACTGTCCCCGTTATCGTCGTCATCCTCTTCCTTGTCATTCCCATCACTATCACTACCATCAGATAAGGAGGGCTCATTATCGCCATGATAATCAGCCCTCTCTGGGGGATGGTCCTGTTGAAGGTTATTTAAAGCAATGGGCTGTGCCAGGGTTGCTGCCGGTAACGAGCTGTCCTGGCTAATGCCATCATCCTTTGTAGAGGATGGTTTTGAGAAAGCTTGAGGAGATTCTTGTTTACCATCTTGATTGTTCTTGTTGTTGTTCTCCGTTACTTCCTCCTTTTCCTCTTTGATACATTTCCTACCAGCCTCTGTTGGGAAGTGTCGTCCTAGAGCGTTATTTGTGGAGGAGACCTGGCTCGTGGCGGTCAATGGGGGTGTGCCCTGCGATTTACACGAGTTGGATTTTGCCTCGTCTAAATGTAGCCTTTCGTGTCTTTTTATATCGTTTCGATGCATGAATTTTTTCCCACAGACCGAGCAAACAAAAGGCTTCTTCCCCGTATGGGTTAGAAGATGGGCACGTAGAAGACCACCACGTGTAAAACGCTTTTGGCAAAAACTGCACTGCCAGTGGGCTGTAGTTTTTGTTTCCTTCAGAGCGTGCCCTAGTCCCTTCTCTGATGAGTCGGATTCCAGAAATCTCTGTGCGTCGGAGTTCCAGTCATCATTCTCTTGTCTGGGAAGGCTGGCTAGAGAGATTTCCTCCAAATGTCGCCCTACGTGGGTCGTGTACTCGCGTCGGCTTTTCCAGTCGGTCTGCAGACACAAAGGACAGGGATGTTTGGTGAATTCAGGTGTGATCACGTATTCTACAGCCTCCGACAATGCGGCATGCAGTTGGTGATCGCTTAATTTTACACCATGCTCACGAGCGAGATGTTCCGCAAACGCGTCACGAGTCGGGAGCTTGGTTTTGCAACGGAAACAGCGCCACTTGGGCTCTGAAAAATGCTCATTGAACTCATGCTCTGCCCAGAGGCTACGGGATTTAATGTTGTCAAGGATTGATTGCATTCCGGGTGCGTGCAAATATAAACCTGGAGGTCTGCGTAAACGTGCATCCTATGGTCGTTAGCGAGTCCCATCAATCCTGGCGGACAACCTACTTCCATGACATGCGACCCTTGAGCGTCACTGTCTTTAGACAGAATTCACATCGAAACGGAATGCCGAGTTCGACTTCCCGGGGTGTACGCGGTACTCAAAGACGGCCTTGAGAGTCTTCCGCAATGCTCGCGAGATAGGATGTATGTGAGGCTACCGTAGCAGTATCCTTGGGGATCGTTGCAATAGACGTTCCAATGCCTGAGTCGTCGAATTTGGACATGGGGTTGAAACCGTGCGACGTTTCTAATAATTCCTGTTCCTCTTTCTGCATCCAGTTTTTTATCCTGAAAGATCTCTGCCAATTTGCTTCGCCCAACCGATTTGCCAGTTGGATTTGAGCATTTTTGAACCTGTTCGCAGCATAGTCAGCTCTCTTCAGCAACCAAAGTGGCTCAAGTACACAGACCGATCCAAGATGCGCAAGACGAAAGGCTGTGCACACTGCGAAACTTGTAACTCCGAGCCTCCCGATGGTCTCTCATGCTCTGGTTTAGTCTGAATATATGCAACGCGTCTCTCCGAGGTCGGGGCGAGGTCCATCAATGAGGCTGATATAACAATTCAATCTGTCGTACGAATAGAACTCGTGATTGTCTTGTTCGTCTTCCGAGGACTCTGTGTCCGATGCACTGATCTCTTCTTCGTCGCCCATAATGAGCTTGGCCTTCTCCAAGAGGATTTCCAGGTCGCGCCGCCAATCTTTCAATCTTAAGTCTTCCCCATTCAAGTTGGAAAACGTGGCAGAAAGCTCTATATAGTCGCAAAATTATTCGCAGTTGTTATTATTCGATGCACCGTGCAGCTGAGAAATTGGGTCATTAAGGAAGTTTCCAGGCACTTACGTCTAATCAAGACTCGTCCGATTCTGGAAAGGTTGTCAACGATATTAATTTTCAGGTACCCAGAATTTTCTAAAATTGTGTCAAGCTCGCCAGGAGGGAAGTTCTCGGTCCAAAGGCACAAGTTTACCACAGTCGTCTCCATCGGCAACGACACTCCGTCCATGGGCATTATTGCGATAGAATACTTCCAGATCTCCGGGAGAATTGAGGAACAGGCACGATACAAGCTCTCCACGAACCCAAGCTCGGGGACGGTGAATGTGATGTCGGTGCATTGCTGTACGCTTGTGTTGACCCACTCATGGACACGGGCTCTCTTTCGCAAGGTTGCCATGGTCGCACGTTCAACGAATGTCACAGTGGAAGGTCAAGACTGATGGTATCGACATATTTGTGAGAAAATCCTGCCTTATTGAAACGTGACCAGGTTGGGCGTTGTCAGCCTCACAAGAGCCTGAACGGAGTAGCCAATTGCCAGGCACAACCAAGGCTGCCCCTCGTTCAGCCTTGCGAGGATTCCGTTTCTTATATTTTTCCATGCACTGAAGATCTCCGTCTTTTTCGCCGCAGTCTGGCTTCGACCTTTCGTTTCTGACTCCGTCGGCGCCGTACACCATGTCGGGGTTGGAGCTGGCCCCGGCGATTTTCCCCCTGGCTATTCAGGGCTTCCAGGGCATTTCCACTCTTTTCAAACGATATCGCCGGCTCTTGCCCCAACTGGATGACGCCCAGCAGTGCTTGAAAATGCAGCGCGCCATCTTCGAAGGAGAAGTCGAGATCCTGCTGTCCCACGTCGCGGACTCCTCTTACCTTGCGCAAGAGATGCTGGGCGATCCATCACATTCCTTGTGGAATGATGATGCGATGGACAAGCGCCTTCACGAATTTTTATGGGGATCCACAGCGCTCTGCATCGAGACAATAGAGGATATACAAAGCAAGCTCCAGAGAATTGAGGAGGCATCCAAACGCTTCGACGTGGCAACTGAAGACAAGGTTGGTCGGTGGAATTATAAGACAGCACTCATTAGAAGTCGCCTGTATTCGCCGTCTTTTCGTCTAACGCGTTGCCCGCTATTAGTCTGTCCGTGACAAGGCATGGCGTCGTCGAGTATCAGCGCAACTCAAAAACATTTTCTCCTCGTAGAATCTCCAGGTGAGTGTCCCAAGCTGGGAGATGCTGCTTACACACTAATCAGTGTTTTCCTCGACAGGAACTGGTCGAGCAATTGAAGTCGCGCATCCAGGACCTGCAAGCTCTCACTTCACAGGCAGAAAGAAGGTCCCGGCGGCAGGAGGTCTCACACCAGGCAGTTGCCAGAAGAGGAAAGCCGGAATTTGGGAAATTCCGCACCATCCAACGAGCGGCCTGTGATCTCCATAAGGCCCTGGTGGCAGCGTGTAGCAAGCACATTGTCCACAATGTTCAGCTCTGCCTCCTGCCTAGAGTCACACGTGAATTCACCCAGGTCCGGTTCACCGTGTCCTTTGGCGGCTCTCAGACGCAAGAAGCTCTCACAACATCTCGTTCCCTATGGCTGGCTATTGAGTCTGTAATCAAGGATACTGTGACGCCCATCGGAGAACACCCTGACGATGTTCCAACAGGCATTACCATATCTCTCAAACGACAGCATTCTCCTGATCAGCTAGAGATTGCAAGAAAGCCAAGGAAACGTGTGCAATTCGCACCACCCCCTTCACCGACCTGTCAACGCCTTACGTTGTGCGAGAGCAATCGGTCGTCTCCAGACCTCGAGCTTCGGGGAAACCTCTGTAGCGTGCTGCAGCGGTACTTACGCCAGCAGAGACTGGCATACAATCCATGTCTAGGATTTCTGGAGGTCACGGCCGATTTCAAACATTTAATATATATTGATTCTCCGAGCAGCGACGCCAACGCGTCGATGTCTCTTGCGAGCTTGTTAGCCTCCTGGCACAAACGGAATGTCATTACCGGACTATCTCAATACGAAAGGGTCCAACTGGCCAAATGTCTTGCCACTGCCGTTCTCTACTATCGGGCTTCACCATGGCTCAAGCAGTCCTGGCGCAGTGAAGACATTTACTTTTGCCGTCTCGACAAGCATGCATCGCCGACATTGTTAGCAAGCATGTCACGTATCTACAAGACACCTCTATATGTGAATTCCTCCATTAGAGGGCCAGAATCGGAAGAGGAGGAGCGATGCCAGACGTTGGATTCTTCTTCTTCTCCATCCGCCTCATTTCATCTCACACGAAACCCTATCCTTTTCGGGCTCGGCACGATGCTCCTGGAGTTGGCCTTTGAGGCCCCCTTCAAGAGTCTGCAGCGCCCGATCGATATTCGCCAGGGAGGAAGAGAGGAGTTTGCGGAATATTTCACCGCGACAAGACTGAGCAAGTTGGTTAGCACCAAGATGTGCAAGTCATACAAAGACATCGTCGAGCGATGCTTGCATTGTGATTTTGGCTGTGGAGATGACCTTAGTGACCCCACCCTTCAGGAGCGGTTTTATAGTCAAGTGGTCTGCGAACTTGACCAGCTGGAGAAGAAGGTTCGAGCTTTATACAGTAGCCTCGAATAATAAGTCGAGTAACGGAATAAAAGAAAAACCTTAACACCCTTTGGAAATAAGACTGCTTGTATATAGCATTTGAATTCCGCATTGGCAAGATTCTTTTTTTTTAAAAAAAAAAAGGAGATATAGAGAGAGGAGGGAGTGAGGGAGAGGGAGATAGCGTACTCAAAAAAAAAACCCCCTTCTTCTCGTTTGTCCCGTCTTGGAAATGCACAATCACTTCCATACAGGATCCCCGGGATTTTAAACTACCCTCGATCAAGGGTCGATAGACCATATGAAAAAAAAATCAGACGTCTTAAAAAAGTCAGACGTCTTAAAATATTACCTATTTCTCATTTTATGACCACTAATTATGTAGTCTACAACCACAATTTATCATCTAAGTACAGTACAGTACATGATGGACAATCCGTCCACGTGATAAACCATTGGACTCCCCATGTGACCTGCAAAAGGGATGTCCATCTACCTGGACCCCGAAGATACAGACAACATCGTACCATGACATGGACTGAAAATAAAAAGCTATAAATGAATCGGTCAGTTAATAGAATAAAATAAAACCAAAAGAATCAAATATCACTAACAAAGGCACGAGTGAGTAATTTTGTTATTATTATATTTAGATATGTATGTACAATATGTATATTTATAGCACAACCAAGACCAACATGTTAATACAAGCAACAAGCAAGCAACCAACAAACCATTGACGATTCAACCAACCAACTCTGTACATGTACAGTACAGTACATCCAAGTAGAAGAACAATATTGTAATACTACTACAAGTGGTTATTTAGTAGTTATTAGTTACTTTAATTATATCACGGTCATCACGCTTCACAAGAGTCGTATACAGAGTACATACAGAATGAACGCTTAACCACACGCCCCACCTGGATACATCAAGATAGATATCTGATCAAGGTATCTGATCTGATCTGATCGAGTCAGAGCCAGTCAGTCAGTCAGTTTGTCAGTCAGAATGACATAACATATGTTATTTTTATTACAATGCCCACTACTGTACCTAACCTAACCTACCTTAGGTACTCATATGGAGAAAGGAAAAAGACCGGAGTATTACTTACAATACATACATCCCGTGACAGTGGGATGGAGGATTCCAATTACGGAGTATTGTCTCAGCGGTACCAGAGTGATCAGACGCCCAGCGCGAATCAGCGCGTTTAAAATCACGCGAATGAGAATCACGATTGGCAATGTTGCATTGCATTGCATTTGCATCCATTCGTTATTATTATTAGTAAGGCTCCAGTTCTCCACTATGGACTGGGGACTGGGGCGCCTGAGTCCTGACTGGTCACTGGAGGAGTATGTAAGGCCCTTGATTCAAAGATTTTTTTTCCAAACTTGAACCTTGTTTCAACTCAACGCATGCGGATCATGGATGCGGATGCGGCAAAAAAAGAAATATGTCATACAGAGTAGTACCTCCCTCTTACGGTTCGGTGTGGGGTATATAGATAACTCTGTATACGAAAGCGGTTGCTAACTAACATATCATTTACAGTGAGTAGATCCCTGCATATCTTTGAACACCATTCCTTCTTTCTTCATTTCATTTCATTTTCATTCCTTCGTTAATAATACTCTGTCGGTCGGTGGCTCGACTCGACCCACTGTTGCATTACATAACCCTTGAATAATAGTTAACTACTCGCAGTAACTAACTACTCCGTACATACCGGTTATGTAATAATGCTATGATGCAAGGACTCTGCCTGCCTGCCTGCCTGCCTCTCTGGCGTAGCACGCCCTTGCCGCCCTTCAGTATGTCCTCTACTGACGATCAGTCGATCAGACAACTCAAGGCAGTCAGAACAAAGGAATGATAATCCCTGCTGTCTCAACTTATACGAAGGCGGCTGCAAGTGGGTCGCCGGTCAGGCCGTCAGGGGGTTGAGGTTGGAACAAGGTGGCTACGCACGGACTCGAAACTCCCGGTGGCTGTGTGTAGCATTGGCGGATCATTTAGGATTTCAGAGTTTCCCTGAGTAATCAATCAACACGAGCAGCCCTATGTCTTGGCACCTGGAATCTCCAAATCTCCTCCCGCTGGGTGAGACATGGTGGTACTGTACACTGGTACGGACCGTCCGCTCGTTGCATGCGATCTAAGATTTGGGCCACCGGCCTGGCAAGAACAACCTTATTCGTTTACCACCTTCTCGCCATGGAAAAGAATCCCTCCCATGCCAAGCGCCGATCCCAAGGCTGTGGGCGCCTGGTCGCGTGCTGTCCTTCCTCTCAGGTCCCATCTATCCACTCCGTGACACACCAAAACCACTTCCTGCCCCGGATCTGCGCTTCGCCCCGGCCTTGCTAGGGGCCATGCTATTCACTACGGCGTACTCCGTCCTCCGTACAGTACCATTTCATTGTCGCCTCCCGGGGGTGAACGGTCCGCTTCCATGGCGGAGAGGCTCCAGTTTTCTTTCACCTTTTGTATAGTGGCAGCCCCAAATGCACCAATCACCGCTGCCATCCGTCAGCCAGGTGGAAACCCCCTTGGGTTCCACGCCCGTGGCAGAGCACCTCGTGGAATCGCTATAAGATCATACAGCATCCACTGATCTCTCGCTATCGGATCTCCGTCTCTTGTCCTAATGACATCCTCGTTGAACTTGCCGATGTCTTGGTCCCCGTCCCCGACCTGATATCGCTGCCGCTGCCGCGATCCCTCCCCACCATGGGATTGCCATGTGCTCTCTCGCGCCCGCCTGTCGCTCCTTTTCTCTTTTCCCTCCTGGTCGTGTCTGGCATGTCGTCCAAACTGCTGCACATTGCCCAACATGTCCGCTCCTTACCCCTGCTGTATTTCATCATCTACCTGCCCACCCTCTTTTTCCTTGATCTCTTCGTGATATGTCTGGGACGGCTGTTGCTCCGGGGGCCAGAGACCCCCCTCCAGATGCTGACATGCATTCTGGGCGGCTTGATGGCGTAAGATGTCCTTCCACTCCATGACTCACAGACTTGCTGATATGCTCAACTTCCCCGACTTCAGGTTCGTGACATATGGAGCATCCGCTATTCAGTTCGGCTTCTTCTTCGAGACCGGGTCCGAGGTGGAATGGGGTGCCTCCAGGAGTTTTGTTCGAGATCCCGCAGCGATGAAATTGCTCATGAGCGGCATTCGAAGTGTCACCGTCGCTGGGGCCGTCCTCTTCGTGGTATCGTGGATGCTGACGCCATATCTTCACACCATCGTGGGAAATTGTCTTGGTGCAGTCCGCAACTGGCTCGTGGAAGGGTTCCGGTCGCCCAGGGCTTTGCTACCCTTTGCCAGATCGCCAAAGCCTCGTTATAACGTGCGAGTCTTGATCCCTGCCGTTGCCATCACAACTTCACTCCTCCTGATTCGAGCAACCCGACCAGCCGTCCCATACGATCACCTCTCAGAGGCACTCCCCCTCAGCCTGTCGGAAGCTTTCCACAAGTCCTCCGCTACCGCTTGTCACAAACGTAATCCGCCATTCCCTTTTCCTGACCTGATCTCTGAGGAATACTGGGAAGAGCCCCATGGAAATTTCCCCGGATGGGCCCCGGATCTCCGCCACCGTCACAGAGAGAATCTGTCACGACCAGAGTGGTTACCCGAACATCCGCCACCTGGTTTCTCACGTTGGAAGGCCCAGCCGAGAGAAAAACACGATCACGAAAAGGGAGAGAAGGGACACTGTCCCAACTTCCACCACACATATAACCCCGTAACCGACCCGCTGAAAATATCCAATCTGGACTTGGAGATCCTGCATCCCTTGCGCCAGGTGTTTGAGGCCAACTCGGTCGAGATCAATCATATCGTGTTGCTGAGTCTGGAAAGTGGAAGAAAGGAGGTCTTCCCCATGCAGCCGGGAACCCATCTCTATGACTCGATCGTGGAAACCCACGCGGAGGACGAACGAGACGAGATCGTCGACAAGCTGTCCCGCTTGACGCCGGTGGCGCAGATGGTGACTGGAGAATATGCCCTGACGAGCCAGGGGACCAGGAATAACTTTAGTGACGCTGTGTGGCAGGACCATGCAGCTGATGGGATGGGAGGCATCAATGTGAAGGGGGCCATCACCGGCAGTACGTTCACCTTGAAGAGCTTGCTCGGCAGCCACTGCGGCGTCAACCCGTTGCCGGTGGATATGATCGAGGAAGTGAATCTGGACATCTACCAACCGTGTCTGCCCCATATCTTGGAGCTCTTCAACCGCGGGAAGAACACGAGTGAGGCCGATGATGCGGAACCGGTGGCCTTTCAAGAGAGACCGTGGAAGTCGGTCTACATGCAGTCGATCACCGATTCCTTCGACAGACAGTCGCTGCTGAATCGCAGGCTGGGATTCCAGCAGACGATTGTGAAGGAGACGATTTCTCGAAGCTCTGCCAAGTACTACCCGCCAAAGACCAAGGAGATTAATTACTTTGGGTATGTCCTTTTTTTTTCTTCGAAATTTTCATTTTTTTTTTGGCTGACCATTCAGATATGCCGAGTCCGAAATCGAGCCGTATCTCCGGGACGTGATTTTCGAAGCGGCCGAGAACAAGACTCGGCTGTTTCTGTCGCATCTCACCAGCACGACGCATCATCCGTGGAAGGTGCCGGACGGCTTCACTGAAAAGATGTATATGGGCACGCATAACGGTCTGCGGTCGCGACATCAAGATCTGAACAAATACCTCAACACGGTGGCGTACGTGGACGAATGGCTGGGTAAGATTCTGGGGTACCTTGACGAAGCCAAGATCGCAGACTCGACCCTGGTGGTCATGATTGGCGATCAGTAAGTTTTTTTTTCCCTCCGCATCATTTCGTCGATGCCAGGCTGACTCTTTCCTAGCGGTCAAGCGTTCGTCGAAGACACCGCGGTGACGGGCACGTTTGAGAACCCACACATCAGCAACTTCCGCGTGCCGATCGTCTTCCGCCATCCGCGCCTGCCCCGGATCGACATCGCGGCAAACGCGACGTCGTTGACGATCATCCCGACGCTGCTCGACCTGCTCGTCCAGACGCGGTCGCTGAACGAGGCCGACACGGCGATCGCGTCGTCGCTGGTGCACGAGTACCAGGGCCAGTCGCTGCTACGGCCGTTCCGGAGCGAGTATCACGGCCGGCGGGTGTGGAATTTCGGCCTGATCAACTCGGGCGGCAGCATGCTGTCGGTGAGCACGGCCGGGTTGCCGTTCCGGCTGGTGCTGCCGCTGCGGACCGAGTCCGGCGAGACGAACAAGGTCTTCCAGTACCGCTTCACGCACACGGACCGGGACCCGGCGGAGCAGAATCCGCTCGAGGCCTGGACGCTGGGAGGCCTACGCCGGTCAGTGCAGCAGAAGTACGGCCGCGAGGCAGCAGACTGGGTGGACGATGCCGGCCGGCTGGGGATGTGGTGGGTGGCCGAGCAGAAGCAGATCTGGAAGTGGAAGGAATAATGACGACGCGGCGCGCATACTGGGTGTTCGACGAGTCGCTTATATTATATACCTGCCTAGTAATTAGTCTTGGCTGTATTTGGTTGTTGTATCTGGGAAATGGGGGCATCACAGGCGTTGTTGGGTCGATTCTGTCTCGCGGGGTTGACTGCGTTTTCTTCTCTCTGTACAGTACATGCATCCGATGGCATTCTTCGTTCATTTCATATAGCTGGATTGGTATTTTCGACTTGCGTAATCCCATAATAATGACGCGTCATGTCCTGATCGATCTCTGTCGGCGAAGAAGAGGATTACGAATCCCGGGGGGCCATTAGGCCAAATCGTGTCTAGTAGGTGGGGGTTGCTCCTTCCCTTTGTGGTGGATGATGATAACCGCTAACCGTGCCGTGAAAAATAATAATTCAATTCTATTCCACGTGCTCTTTAATACGAATAATGGTAATAGCACTACTTAAAAAAATAATTAAGTAGCTACACAAATAAATTAAAAAAAATGAAAGACGAAAAGAAATCATCAGATGTCACGCTATATCCCAGTCTGGCCTAGAGTTCCGAGCAACCCATTTCCGGCAGATTCTCAATCACATGGGCAATGTCAGCCGTTTCCCGTAAAAGGAAACAGCGATCCAAGACAAGGCCATGCAAGACAGATCGACTTCCCAACGAAGAATCTGGCGTTATATTTAGTCTCTTTTAGATCCACATGATGCTGGTTCTGATTTTCTCTACCTCATTGGACAATGGACCATCTATTCTATTTAATTATCGACCCAAGATCTGCATGTACGAAGATTAGATAAGATCAGATCTAGAGGAATATTAAGATCCACTATGACATGGACATACACACAGGGGTAGGCTACATCGTCCTAAGCTAATACGGGTAAAAGACTGAAAAATAATAGTTCCGAGTATGTATTATTGTAATTAATTATTTCCCTTCCTAGTAAATAAACTATGTACGGCGGAAAGGATAGATATTCACTCGTTCTGAACCCGGAAAAAAGAATCAATCCAAACTCGCCATAGCGGAAAGGATATGTATGTCGATCGATTGATCATGAAACCCAGACCAGACCCAAACCCCGAAAAAAAAAAAGAATCTCCCAAACTATAAAAAAAAACAATACTAGCATGCTCGCTCAAAACGCCGTCAAACGGTAGACAGAACCAAGTTGGTCAGAATACGAAAAACACGTCGTCATGAAAGAATATCATGTCGTCCGCGACAAATGCAATTACCACGCAGCGTGTCCGCCGTCGATGCGCAGGTCGCTGCCGGTCATGAAGCTGCTGGCATCGCTGATCAGGAAGACGGCGGCGCCACGGTACTCCTCGGGCTTGGACAGGCGGCCCAGCATGTTCTGCTTGGGCCACTCGTCGCGGCGCTCGGGGTACTGGACGAACAGGTTCTCGACCATGGCGGTGACGATGTAGCCGGGCGAGATGGTGTTGACGCGGATGCCGTACTGACCCCACTCGGCGGCCAAGTTGCGGGCCAGCTGGACGACGGCCGCCTTGGAGGCGTTGTAGGCCGGGCAGAGCAGGCCCTGCGCGTGTCAGCTTAAGTAAGCAGGCAGGTGACCGTGTGGAGAGAATGCTGCTGCAGACCCCACAAGGCTGCGTTAAGGGAGACATCATTATACATACCTTGTTGGCGATGGTGCCGCTCATGCTGGCAATCATGACAATGCTGCCGCCGTTGCCAAACCGGATCATCTGCTTGGCCACCGCCTGCGCCGTCATGAACACGCCCGTGACGTTGATCTCGAACATGGTGTTGGCGTCCTTGGCCGTGTACTCGAGCGCCGGCGTCTCCTGCTGGATGCCCGCCGCGGCCACCAGCCCGTCGACACGGCCCTCTTGGTTGCCAATCTCCTCGATGACATTGTTCAGCAGCTCCGAGTCGCGCACGTCGATGCGGCGGTAGTGCAGCTTGGTGCCCAACTCCTCCTCGGCGCGCTTCTGGATGCGGGCAAACTCGGGCGACTGTTAATTTTCCACCAACGCTGATTAGCCAGCTGTCCCTCCTCCTTCCCGTTTGGTGCGAGGCCTCCCCCGGCCGCAATCAGAATAGACTTTGCGGGGGGAAACGCTCTAGAAAGCAACGGAAACTTACCGGCTCCTCCAGGCGGTCGAGCGCATAGACAATGGCACCGGCCTCCAGCAGGGCCTCAGCCTGCGTCAGACCCAAGCCCCGGCCACCGCCAGTCACGACGACCACCTTGTCGGTGAGGATGAACTCGGGCAGACGGCGCTGGGTGCCCAGGTAGATGCCCTTCTTCTCGTCGGCGGGCGGGCTGCGGGGGCCACGAGCGGCCTTTGCGTCAAAGGACGGGATGTTCTCAATGTTGACGGACATGGTTGCGGTTGACAGATGGAAAGGATGGAGAGGGGATCAAGGATGAAGTGAGAGATACCAAGGCAACTGCGACACCGTTTGCATAAAGATTATATTACTATTATAGTAAGAAGAATCTTAAAGTCAAGAGCGAATGTCTTCACTGCAGTGGGGCACGGTGTCCGTTGGAGAAAAAGAAAGGCTCAATGACCAGAACCGAGAACAGCCATGGCTGTTCTTCTTTATATACCTTGCTACGGTGGAACCCCCATGGAGGCTGGGAGAGAAGACATGCTCATGTGAGCAACAAAAAAAGACCATGTCGGACAATTACAGAATCGGGGGTGGTCCAGAACGGAGACTGAGCGAGGGGCCATGGGCGGAGTCGCGGACGGACTATCAGAGTTATGCGAGTCCAGACTCAAGCTTGAGGGCACTGCCTGCCAGTCGGCACACGGCCTTGCGCTAGTCTCCTGCTGGGCCAGATTAACTACTTGGGCACTTCCGATTGTGCTGTCCGTGCCGAGTCAGCATGTCCGATGTCTATCTATCAAGATGCGAGAAACGCCGGCAAAAGCCAGAATATTGGCAGATGCCTACGAGAGCAGCATACATCATCAATGATGTTAGGACAGAAACGTTCAGCGTGGAGCCTGACAGGCCGTGGTCGTTGATCTCATCGAGCCATCATAGGCATCGACATCGGCCCCGGCCAGCACACATCCCACGCACGCAAACAACGGCTCAAGGGGAACGCAAGATCGAGAATGGACGAACTCCGTAGCAGTCGGCACGGGACTCCAGGATGTGTCCGCAGAAGGCGAGCCGGGACGGTGCCCGGATTTCTCTTTTGGGCAATCCGACATGCCTGCCCAGGCCGGGGAACGGGAGGGCGGTTTGGGGCAGCGAAGCCAAGCGGTGGAAAGGGATCGAAAGGAACTGCGACGGGAACCCCAGCTGGAAGCCCAGCGATTCTCTCTTTTTTTGCCTTAGCCGCGGGCAGGTGGCGAGCGGATCTGGAGGATTCTGGAACGCTGGGCAGGCCTGCTGTGAGCCGGGCCAGACTCGAGGCTTTCGAGCCCGCCGCGCCGGTTCCAGCGGGGTCATGTGCAGGTCACGTGTGGAACCCCGGAGATCGGCCCGATCCCCACCCCACGCCCTCGTGACCTGCACCTGCCAATGACGCGCGCCATCGCCGCGAACCGACCGACTATCGATATTCTTAGAACGGCCATCGCTCCCCGTTCGCATGCGATCGTCCGCTCCTCAGCAACGGTTCAATATGACAGTCCTTCTACCCCTGGATCGGCAAGACGTCGATTGGCGGTGATATTGTACGTATAATCACTCGGAATATCATACTCTGTACGGACTGCCCTACTGCTCACGATATTCGTTGCTGCAATGCCACGTCGACGCTACACGGCATCACAAATGTACTTGTACGCAATATACTCCGTAGACACAAACAACTCCTATGCTGTGCTCCCAAGCATCCGGTCGTTGTAATAACAAATCTTAGATTGCACCGCAGATCGGCCAGGCCGGAAAGTTGCAACGGGTCTGCCAGACTACCCGAAGGGGAAATTATCTTCAAAGGATGGGAGGAGCAAGCAGTCCGTCAGTCTGTCCTATCTGATTTTCAGATTGAATTTTTTTTTGTTTCTCCCCGTCGGCGACTCGGCGCTTCCCCGAATCAATCTTACCCGTTGAGTAAGAGTTTGGCTGGCAGCGTGGCGGAAGTCTTAGTTTCCCTTCTCGGAATTTCCTGGTTGAAACTAGTCTCCGTCGCTCAGGCCTGGTCTGCTGTCTTTGTTTTACATCGAGTCTGCTGACTCATTAAATTTTAAACAATTAATTATTAATTGGTTAATTATTGACAATTCATCTGCACGAGATAGCGGTCTGCAAGCTGGTTGTTTTTTCATCCCAGCGATGCGACTGATCTCCTCTGTCGCATGTGCGGGCAGTATTCCCGACAGTGGGGGTTATCCGCTATATCCGCTCCGTACGTACGGAGTACAGTACCGCAGACGTGTATACCCAGTGATCTATTATTATTGCACTGAATTGAATCGAATACTCCGTGCGGTACGGATGGATATCAGTGGATATCTTCCGTTGCACTGCGTATTCCCCCCACAGAATTAACAATTATCTACAGAGTACTCCGTACGGAGTTCTCTATACCGTATACTCTGTATGCTTCAATGCCACGAATGAAGGACGGAGATCCTAAGTACTGTACAATTTAGCAACAGCGTGTCTGTAGTGTACTCCGTATGTAGCGTAGTACCGTCTAAGTAAACTTCCAGAATTTCCATCCATCCATTCCATGTTCCAAATCCCATGCCGTTATGTCCTCCATATATCCTGATTATTTCTGACAGATCAACATATCATTATTAATATCAGGTATTATTTCAGGCTATGGTCCGTGTAGGAGAAGGAGTATTCTATTTTATTTAAAATTTAAGAAAAGCCTCAAAAAAAAAGCTCCTGTGGCCCTGTGGGTCACTAGATTGCTCGTGTGACCTGACAAAAAATAATTTGCCCCCATAAATAAAATAGAATAGAATAAAACTGGAGCTCCGAAGCTAATACCTTAGGTACCTTGAGGCTAGAACTAAGCTAAAGTAAAGCTAAAGATAGGGGCCAGAGCCAGAGCCGGAGCCGGAGCCAATATTCAGGAATCAGATAGATACGGAGTAGTAGCCACGTACGCAGCACATACGTACTGTACGGAGGATTTATTTGCCGCGGAGTTGAGCTTGGTTGATTGATTGATTGATTGATTTTTTTTGCTAGTTTGTTTAGTTCCTTCGGAAAATAAAGATTTTTTCTTTTTCTTTCTTTTTTTTTTTCTAAAAAAAGTAAAGGAAAAAAAAAGAAAAAGAAAACAGCTGACGTGGCAGACTGCCTGTGTCTCCATGACCTGGTCGACCTCCTAGGAGTCCTTTCTTTGCTTTTCTTTCTTTGCCTTAATTACCCCCTCTCTTCTTGCCAGCTACTTCCATTTCATGGCAATTGCAATTAATTCCTAAGGATAAAAAATTAGAAATTAAAAATCCAATCGATTAGTCGACTGATTGACAGCTGCCTGTCCAAGATAGTTTACAAAGTTTACATAATCCATCATCTGGAAGTTCACACGGATTTGACAATTCCGGCTTCTTGGATTGGATTGAATCATTGAATCATCGTCATCAAATCATCATCAACTGGCAGGAGTAATGTACTGTACATACAGCAGTGATGAATAATTAATCAGTTGTCTTGATTAATTAACTCTGCTCGTGACTATTATTACTTCATACGAAGAACAGAATATAGTAATGAACTATCTATCTACCTACCTAAGTAGGTACTATTTCTAGGGAACCACTTACGTGGTTAATAATATTCTCACTCCGTACTCCGTACAGATACTCCGTAATCCACACTCTAGGGATAAATACTTAATAGTTGGCATGATCGTCAGGGCTGTAGGCTGCAGGCTGCAGCACCAAGGTAAAAAAAAAGGTCCTTGGGACGGACGGACGGACTGGACCGCTGGACCGGAGATACGGGCCTCCTTCCGCGAGTGGGCCAGGACGGAGGACTCCCCGCTTTTTCCATACTTCTTTGACTAGAGGTACCTACCGAGTACGCGGGTAAACTCAGAGTGGACCGCTTGCTTGTTTAGGCCCAGGGCCAGGGTTAGGGATCATGGTCATGTGCGATGATGATCTGGTCTATCATCTTCCCTACTGGGTACCTGTATGGGGTACTGTTCTGGAAACATGTGACTTCCATTAGTAATGGCGTTTTGTCCTCGATCCACGGTGGAGTTGATTTGTATCCACTGGCTGAACCTATCTCTATCTTCCCCTATTAATCTGCTAGCAAGGGGAGAAGCGTTGGAAGAGAACAATTTGCTAAAACGGACGTCTACGTCGTCCGTCCGTCAGTCAGTCAGCTAGATAATACTGCTCGCGTCTTCCTCAAGTTTCTGTCAGCCCAGTGCTGTGTGGTATCTCTGAGGTTGTGTGTGTCATCGGATAAAAATACAGGCAGGCAGGCACCTGCAACAACAGTGCGGTTTGTGGCTGTGAATTCGTTCTCTTCTGGAAAGAAAAGCTAATCATGTTGTTTTCAAGGATTGCGTTCTTGGTACGGATGTCGTGAGATTCGTTTTTTTTTCGCCCTGTATTTCCCATCCTGTTGTTCTGTCTCCAATAGACATCGACAATCTGATTCTGAGTTGGATATGGATTTATCTAATTCTCCCCTGGCTGAACAGGACGAGAGTTGGATACGACAGAGCTTGAGCGACCTCACACAGCAACCGGAACCTTTCCCTTGTGAACACAATTGCTTCTCAAAGTCCTGCAAGGGAGATCCTTGATACAAGGCTTCTGCTGGAACAGCAACAAATCATCAAGATGGAAAGTCAAAAGTAAGAGTATTGCCTATCTCGATTGAAATACATGGGATTATTTAGCAGCGTCTTTGATTACGTCTGCACATGAAAATGCAACGCATACGACCTAGGCTGTTGAACAGAGAACGACGTCGACCATATGTATACATATTTGGATTATCGATCCTAGTTTGTGTTCTATCCAAGGGGACAAGTTTATCAGTGTGACCTGCCTGCCAAGGCTTGCAACTACGTAACCTATAATAATAAAGTAATGGAATTCATAATATCCTGGCTTATGAGAAGCCCAAGTGCGACAGATGGATAGGTACTGTACATACATCGTTTCTATATTTTGAGACACTACCCAGAGCAGATCTGGTGGACATGCTTCGTGCGAATCATCATGCGAATACGAATTTCTGTCCATGACAGGATTCGTGAAACTTGCCCATGTTTGCTTTGCATAGCAAGATCAAGTGAAAGTGAGTTCCCTTGATGGGCTGGAACATGATCGCCGTCGCTATCCGTACTGAAGGACCCCACTTTGTGATCGCCAAATGAATTTTGATTTTCGATTCCAAAAGAAAAAAAATTATAAATAGTATTTCGACCGTAACACCGTGCCTGGATGTCGATGAAAACGACGAGATTTTCTTCGCATATCGTACAGTTATGCACCTTCATACATGTATGTATTGTACTGCACTGTACCCTGTGAAGAAATTGAGCAACTCGGTTAACGAGCATTGAAGAACCGATCTTGTCTTGGCTGTCTGGAAGGTAGGCCAGTTCTCCACATTTATCGAATCCTATGTAACATAGTGTGATGAACCGTTAAGATGCGTTGAGGTGCAACACATGTACTGTACGTACTAGCTTCCAGCTGTAAAGACGATGAGCTACCCAGACAGGACTAGATGGAGAATATCGTAGTTATATGTAACTGTGGCTGCAACTGTAACTAAATAGAAGACTCAAAATCTCTCTTTTTACTCCATCCTGATGATGCTTCTGCAGAGCCATCGATCGGCGCTGCCGAAGGTGACATTCGCTTCTGCCAGCTGAGCTTGTATCACTGCCCAATCCAGTTAGGGCGGATCCTTAGGACTGCAACAACAGGAAGAAGCTCAGACGTCGAATGACTTTATTTTATTTCTTCATGCCAGCGCTGTACATAATAATGTAGGACGGACAGATGGCCTGTACATGTACTGTACACGTCGGCATGTCGCATGCGCTGGCGGCCAGGATGGACCGGGCGGATTACATATGAATTTATGCAATGCTTCGACACGACTCGAGCTCGCCTTGCTTACCCCACCTCTGAATCAGCCCGTTGATTGATTGATTGATCTCGACCTTGACTTGTGGACTGGACTCGTTTTTTTTTTTGGTCCTCCATAATTATTTCTCTGTCTGTACCCTACGATGTGATGTATATACGTTTGTGTATGCTCTGCGATGCTCTTCATATCGACAGCGGTGACGATCGCGCTGGGCGCGATCTGTGCCCGCATCGTCTATCTCTGCTACTTCCATCCGCTGGCCCGCTACCCGGGTCCTTTTCTCGCCCGCTTCACGAACCTCTGGTTTGTCTCTCTGTGCTCAGTTTTGTCGCTTGTACCCCCGTCTGGACGCTTCCCTCTAACAACACAGCAGGAGACTGTTTAGCTTCCTAAGCGGACAGCATCATATCGATGAGCAGAAGCTTCACGGACGATATGGCCACGTCGTCCGCGTGGCGCCGAACTGGCTGTCCTTCTCCGACTTGGCCGATTTCGAGGCCATCTACGGGTTCAACAAATCCGTTGAAAAGGGCACCTTCTACGATTTCGGCCGCAACCGTGCCAAAGGGAGTGAGAGCATCTTCAGCGCAAAGACCGATGCGGACCATCGAGAGAAGAGAAGAAAGGTCTTTGGGCCCGCTCTGTCGAATGCGAAGATCGTGGGATATGACCCCGTGATCACGAAGAATGCGGGTGTCTTCCTGTCACGGCTGGAGCTGCTGCTGCAGAATAATAATAATAACGATAATAGCGCTAGTGATAGGCCGATCAATATCGCCGGCCTGGTACATCGCTACACGATTGATACCATGTTCGAGGTCCTGTATGGACCAACCGTCTGTCCACAACCGTACACCGATGCTCCAACAACCCGGGACATTCCCAACTCCTTGCGGGTTGTGACCAAGATGGCGTGGTGCTGCTCGCTTCTTCCCTTCTTTGGCTGGTTGATGAGCAGTCGTCCCATGGGCGCGTTGACGAGGAGACCAACGCGGAACAAGCAGGGTGAATTGACGAATATGTCTGCCCTTGCCGCGGCGAGTCAATCGTTGATATTTTCCCATCGAGAGCAGCTGACACTATCCAAACAGCCCAGCATCGTGAAGAACTGGGCTGAACTCCCTGCCGATGACAGCAGGAAGATGAGTCCGAGTGAGATCTGGGTTGAGGCCTTCAACCTCGTCCTCGCCGGGCCGGGGAGCACCGCCGCGGCGCTGACGGCAGTCCTGTTCATGTTGGGGTTGCCCGAGGGCCGGGAGTGGCAGGAGAAGATCCGCCTGGAAGCACAAGGCCAGGAGGTGAAGGCGGCATCGGTGTCGTCGTTTCCGGTGCTTTTTGCCGTCATCAAAGAGACCCTCCGTCTGCACCCTCCGTTCCCAACCGCTTTTCCGCGCACAATTACACAGGGTGCCGAGGGCGCGATCCCGAACTTGCCGGCTGCGCTGCCGGCCGGGACAGTCGTGTCGGCGAACACATTCGTGCTTGGGCGGTCGAAGCAGATCTGGGGCGAGGATGTGGATGAGTGGAAGCCCCAGCGGTGGCTGCTCGAAAGCGAGCAGAAGAGGCAGGAGATGGAAGACAAATTCGTAGTGTTCAGCAAGGGGTCCCGGCAATGCGTGGGGCGAGAACTGGCGCTGCTGACTCTGGCCAAAGCGGTGGTCAGCGTGACCACGCGGTGGGAGTTGCGCAGTGTCGGGAAGCTGAAGGGCAACAGTTATCTGGAGATGGCATACGACGAGTGCTGGGTGACTTTCAAGGAGTTGCATTGACTGTATGCATGTGTCAGACGATTCTTTCTTACTTAATGGGTTGATTATCAATACAGACTATATAAGGGATAGGTTTAATGTCATCATGCCATAATCACTAATTTATGTGACCTGGTATCTCATGAATCGTCTCTAGGTAGATGTCCAGATATGCAAACTTGTGGCAGCTAAATGGAGGATCCATTATGAATGCTCCTACTACATACAAGATATGGTTGAACCTTACACGTGATAAAGATGGATCAACCATGTGACGGGATGGACCGTCCTCGTTCGAGTCCGTCGAGGTACACGGTTGTACCGCGACAAAACTTGACTCAATCAATGAGACCTAACCACTAGCTGCAATTAGATACAAGGTATGTAGCAACTAACGTAGCCTATATATAGTTCGGCAGATAGAGCACAACATACTGCCTTGTTCTGATAAGATTAATTTGAATAGATGGTGGATCGCACTGTATATGTACTGCACAGTACCCAATCCGGGTAAGTCGTTCGTTCATTCAAGGTTCTACTGTTCTACTGTAGTTAAGCTGAATATATATCAGTCTTGACAAAGTTTCATAGTCCTGACTGAGCTTTTTGGTTTATTGTTCTGCCTGCCCTGCCAACTTTACGTAACGTATCTGGTAAAGGTTCATTCGTTGCTAACCTGTTATGGTAGTAACTATATTTTTTCCCCCTTCTTGGCAGAACCAACAATGGCGATAGTAATAGTGATTATGAGAATCGTTTCTGTGTCAGGTCATCGATGCTGAGCTGATTCTTCTAAGCCTCAGCCTACCTAGCGCTCGCAGACTGGTATATTATTAATTACTGGCTGCTTCTTACTAGGCAGATGCCTGAGGTACTAGGTTTGTCTCTTGTATGATTCGGCGCTTTGATGCCATCACGTGCATGTCCCGTGTCCTACTCCGCGGCTTCCGGATGGGCCGTGGGGGCCCATCACGACTCGCCCATTCTTTCTTTCTGGAATCTTTCGTTTCGACTCATCTCATCGTATTAATACACCAGGCTGGACCATTCGTCAGCTGATCATCATGTTATTCTGTTATTACCTCACTGTCGGTAGCAGCCCTGCCATTCAGCGAAGACGGTGTTAGAGCCTTGGCTAAGTTGACAGGCTGGTGGGTTCTTGGTCTCCCCGCTGACATCACGAACGACCGCGCAGTCGGTTAATATCTCTCGTAAGGCTCTGCTCGGAAGACTTCTGATAGGCTGCCATGCCCCGTGCTCCGCCCCAAGCAGCCGGCAGTCTTGCGCCGCTTCCGCCGCCCCCGAACGGGCGTGGGACATTCCATAATACGAAGTGCAGCTGAGCTGATCTGCAGAAATTCCATTTATAACAAGAATGCAAGTCATTGATCCCTGCCGTGTGCCAAGTTGCCTGCAGCATGTGCTCAGGCCCGAGCGCTTGCAGATCGGATCGTAAACCATAGCATGTGCGGCGACGCCCTTCTTGTATAAAAAAGACCGCGCCCTTTCCCTGTGTCATTCTGGCCCTGCGTCTTTCCCCTCGTGAGTCAAGGGTCTCAATTGCCACAATGCGCGTCCCTGGCTCAATCGCGCTTCTCGCTGGGCTGCTGTCTGGTAAGTGACTTTATTTCTCTGCTCGACTGGGCGTGCTTTCTGACCGGCATCGATTCAAGGCACCGCAGCCGCTCCTTCCGACTACCCTGTGGACGTCGTGCCACGCGCACTGCCCAATGCCCCCGATGGCTATACGCCCGCCAATGTCTCCTGTCCGTCGAACCGCCCGACCATTCGCAGCGCCGCCTCGCTGTCTCCCAACGAGACGGCCTGGCTGCAGGTGCGCAGGAACAACACCGCCAAGGCGATGAGAGATTTCTTCGGCCATGTCAGTGTGGGAAACTTCGATGCTGTCTCCTACATCAACCGAGTCGCGAATAATGCCTCTGCCCTGCCCAACATTGGCATTGCCGTCTCCGGTGGTGGCTATCGGGCCCTGATGAACGGGGCCGGCGCCATCAAGGCCTTTGACAGCCGCACTGACAATTCCACGAGTCCCGGCCAACTGGGCGGCTTGCTCCAGTCCGCGACCTATCTGGCCGGCCTCAGCGGTGGCAGCTGGCTGCTGGGCTCCATCTACATTAACAATTTTACCACCATCTCCTCGTTGCAGACCAACCAGCCGGGTCAGGTGTGGGAGTTTGGCAATTCCATCTTCGAAGGCCCCGATGGAGGCGGCCTGCAACTTTTTGATTCCGCAGACTACTTCAAGACTATTGCGGACGAGGTGCAGGGGAAGTCTGACGCGGGCTTTCCGACCTCGATCACCGATTACTGGTATGTATCTACTGATATCTAATCCGAGCAAGTCTGCTGCTGACGTGTCCTGCAGGGGACGTGCTCTGTCCTTCCAGCTCATCAACGCCACCGACGGCGGTCCAAACTACACGTGGTCGTCGATCGCGTTGACTCAGGACTTCCAGAATGGAAACATGCCCCTTCCCCTGGTTGTCTCCGACGGCCGCAACCCGGGCGAGAAAATCGTGGGCAGCAACTCAACCCTGTATGAGTTCAACCCGTGGGAATTCGGCTCGTTCGACCCGACAGTCTACGGATTTGCGCCTCTGGAGTTTCTGGGCACCAAGTTCAACGGAGGAGTCGTGCCGGACAACGAGAGTTGTGTGCGCGGATACGATAATGCCGGCTATGTCTTTGGAACGTCGTCCACCCTGTTCAACCAATTCCTGCTCCACGTCAACTCGACCAGCCTCCCCAGCTTTTTGAAATCCATCTTCACCAAGATCTTGCAGGACGTGGGCGACCATGATGAGGACATTGCACTGTACATCAACCCGTTCTACAATTACACCAAGAATGCCGGTGTCGTCTCCAACCAACAGGAGCTGAACCTGGTCGACGGAGGGGAAGATCTTCAGAACATTCCTTTGCACCCTCTGATCCAGCCGGAACGGCATGTCGATGTGATCTTCGCCGTGGATTCGTCGGCCGACACCGACAACAGCTGGCCGAACGGGACCGCTCTCGTCGCAACCTACGAGCGGAGCCTCAACAAGACTGGCATCGCCAATGGCACGGCCTTCCCCGCGGTGCCGGATCAGAATACCTTTGTTAATCTGGGCCTGAATACCCGGCCGACGTTTTTCGGATGCGACAGTAAGAACCTGACGGGTCCCGCGCCTCTCGTCGTCTATATCCCCAATTACCCGTACGTGACCTTTTCGAATGTCTCGACCTTCGACCCGTCGTACAACAACTCGCAGCGGGACGCCATCATCCAGAACGGGTACTACGTGGCGACTATGGCCAATGCGACCCGCGACAAGAACTGGCCAGCCTGCGTGGGCTGCGCCATCCTCAGCCGTTCACTGGAGCGAACGAACACGGCAGTGCCGGACATCTGCAACCAATGCTTCAAGACATACTGCTGGAATGGAACGGTCAACAGCACTACGCCTCCGCCGTACGCTCCCACGCCGGATCCCAAATTGGCCGTCAACTCGGACAGTGCTGCAGTACCAACGATGTCGCCAAGCAGGATCTTGGTCGGAATTTGCACTATCGCTACGATGATGTTCATGCTATGAGAGCTGAACGTAACGGCCGATGAACCAGATGAACCTGCTTCGTCTTTATTTCTTGCTATTTTGACGGAATCTACGTGTGGCTGCAAAAGGGAGCGGGATATATATTATTCAGATATGTGAATACTCGCATCAGAGCTGACGAGAATTAAATCTCTAAATAGCGCTAGGATTTAACTATAGGCTCAAAAATCTATCAATGAGTTACTTGTAGCTAGTAGTCGGTCCCTGAATGGCACTCACGTGACGTATAGATCGGCGGTTGTCCGGGCGACGGCGTGATCGGCGCTGACAACAAACGCCGCTCCCGTGACCGGCCCGCTGCCACGGGATTCCTGTAAACAGCAGTCAGCATCAACGACCTACCTGTCTAATCACCTAGGTAGCTCTCTCGTCAGATTCAATTGTTCGACATCCAGTACAGACAGACGGAGCCATCGCGAGCGAAAGAGAGAGTCCGGTTGGACTGGTCGACACGACTCATTCGCATCGAATGGACTCAGAATGAGTTTCCCGCGCGCCTAACTCTGTTATTGTCGATTCACAACGCAGCATCGCAACCATATCGACGGCGCGATATTACCCAATCTTTTAAACTAATTGACGATTTCATAGAATACGATTCATCTCTCTAACAGCCATGGCTCGCGCCGCAGTCATTCCGCCGTCCCCTCCTAAACGAGCGACACGGGCGAGGACTCGAGTCGCCGCCAACGAAGCCGCCGACGAACAGAATGCCAATTCGACAAAATCCACAACAACATTGAAGACACAGAAAGCGGCAGGGGAACCAAGCAAAAGGGGGAGAAAACCAGGCAGCGGCAAAACGGTGACGGTGACGACCGTCGTCGACGCGCCCGAAGCCAAAAAGAGGCCCGGCCGGAAACCGAACAATAATCCAGACGTCGGCGCCATGGACGAGGAGACGGATGATGAGATCGGATTTGAGGCTGTGAAGAATCCGGATCTTGCGCCTGCGAAAGCGAGGCCTGGTCGACCTGCCAAGGCTAAAGTGACGAGTAGTGCTCGGACTACGACTGCTACTACGACTACGACTGCTGCCGAAGTGGAGAGCGATGATGATAAGGATGACAGCGACGATGACGAGCTAGCTCAGTCGGACGTACCGAAACGAAAGGTTGGCAGGCCGAGGACGAAGCCTGTTACCAAGCCTACTGAGACGACCAAGCCGGAACCTGCAGTGAAGCCAACCAGAGGCCGACCAAGGACGGTGAAGCCGTCTCCTGTCGCCACGGAGGAAACCGAAGCCGAGACAGAAGGAAAGAAAACTAGAGGTCGGCCTACTCTGAAGACAGCAGCAGTAACAGAACCCAAATCTTGCATCGCTATCGCTCCGACTGCTTCGAGTCTTGCCAAATCGAAACGGGTCGGAGTGGCTGCCAAGCCCAAGAAAGTCACCTTCGCAGATGTCGATCCCTCTGAGTCTGAAAAGGAAAATGTCCCGGCATCTTCTACAGCTCGAGGTGCAAAGAAGACTACCGCAGCCAGCACATCGTCCCAGACGGGCCTCAGGGCCAAGCCAGTCCGCAAGGCCGCTGTCGCTTCTTCTGCACGGGGACGACCTCCAAAGGCATCCCGGCCGGCAGCAGCCAAGCCACTCTCACCTAAGAAGGCCACTCAAGTTGCAAAGTCCAGTTCATCTGCTAGCTCAGAGGATGCAGACGAGGATGAGCTGAGTGGTGCGAAGACCAGTATCATGCTGGTTGTCCGGTCCCCCACCAAGAATTCCTCTGAAAACACGCCTGGGTTAAGCTCTCCGGTGAAGAAGATTAATTTCACTGGCATCACTACTCCATCTAGGAAGGCAACACAAAATGAGAACGATGAAAACGACATCCTTGCCGTCAGGCCACCCTCATCATTGAAGGATTCCACTTTCATGGCCAGCCCGGCCCGACGACTCCCTGGAACTCCGGCTAAGGAAACATTGAAAGACACACCGCGTCGGGGTCCTCTGTTCATTCCTGAACAATCAGCTCCCAAGCCGGAATCATCCACCCCAACGAAGATGTCGCCATTGAAAGCATCGCCGAAGAAAGCAGGTAACTTGGCTGCATCCTTCATGGCGTCGCCGATGAAAACGTCCTCATCGACGCCATTCAAGGCCAAGGTTTCTCTGCTTCAGAGCCCTGCTAAGAGGATCCAGTCGCCGTTCAAGACGATGAGTTCGCCGATGAAGAAGCAATCTGAAGAAGTCGTGGAGAAGGATGGCGCTATGGACACGCAGGTAGATGCTTCCCGTCCCTTTCGGGCTGAAGGGTCGCCTGGGCAAGTCTACAAGCTCAGCGATGAGGAATCTGGAATGGAAGAGATGAAGATGACAAGTAAAGAAGACGACTATGATAGTGATGATGTCTTCACGGATCCTCCTGCTATGACGGTTTCTGAGAACAATGTCGAGGAATCTGTGGAATCTGAGGAAGCAGAGGAACCAGGGGAATCAGGGGAACCAGAGCAACCGATGGAACCCCTTCAGGTTTCGAATGAAGGGGAACAGATCATGGAAGAAGAGGACGACGCTGTCCACACTGAACAGGAAGATGCTGGAGCCAACCCGGAAATGGTTGACGATGAGGACGTCGAAAAACCAGATGAGGAAGGTACTGAGCCTACTGCGATGGTCCAAGATCAAGTAGAACAACCAGACCACGAAGATACTCAACCCAGTATGGTAGTAATTGATGATGAGGAGGTCGAACAGCCAGAGGAGGAAAATACTCAGCCCAGTGCGGAAGCGATCGATGATCAGGTTGTCGAACTTGATCAGGAGGATGGCCAACCTAGCACCGAAATCGTCGATGGCCAACAGCCAGATCAGGAGAATGATGAGCATAGTCCGGCAGGGGTTAATGATCAGGACATGGAGCAACCTGTTCAGGAAGAGGCTGAACCAGGTACGGCAAGTGTCGAGGATCAGCACATCGAACAATCTGATGTCGTCGAGCATGACGAAGTCGATGTTCAGGTCGACGGTGTGACTAAGAATGAAGAAATTGAGCCTCCTGTTGACGCTCCGCAGCAATGTGATGGCCCGAGTGAAGTTCCTGAACGGAAAGAGGATTTCGTAATTTACACAGAGCAAGAGGATGAGACGGAAAGCGTCGCTTCCATTGATCAACATTGTGAACTATCACGTTCACCTGCCCTCTCCTGCACCGGTCAGGCAACGGCAAGCCCGCTTTCTCCCTATGAGATTTCGGAAATGGGTGAAGTAGCGAGTCCAATCCGCCGTGTGCAGAGTATTCCCCCTGCTGCACCGTCTCCGCAAAGCATGCCCTCTTTCACACACCCTTACCGTGATGATGCCGATGACGAGGAGTCGTCCGACGACGAGGCGACCTCGGACGGTAGCCTACGTAAGCGGACATCTAGTCCGTCTGTCCGTGGTGATAGCCGTCGAGGAACGCCAAGCTCCATATCTAGGCAGCAAGTCTCTGAGAGCAATCTGGGTTTCACTCCCTTGGCCGCGCAGCTCAACCGGTGGAAAGCCAGCAGTCCTGACAAGCTGCAACGGAGACGTTCTCAGAAGAGGGGTATCTTCTCGCCCGTCATTCCACCCCAATTAGCTATGAGTCCTGCAATGTCGAGATCTCGTTCGCTTCGAAAAATGAGGCGCTCTCTTGCAGGGAGACATTCCTTGTTGTCGACGTCTTCTGTTCTTAACTCCGAGAGTGACGGGCACAACCAGGAGGAGCAGGAAGCACGTGCAGATGAGACCGTCCAAGAGCCAGCTGAACCTGCAGTGTTCGAGGAGCCGTCTGTGGATCCAACGAATCAGCAGCAGAACACTGGCGAAGTTTTCGAGGAGAGAGCGGCGGCGCACACTGACTTGGAAGTTCAAGAAGAAAAAGAAGAGGAGGAGGAGGAATATGGTGACGAGAATGCTGCTCCAGCAGAAGCTGTGCAAGCTGAATCTGTGGCTCCTGCTCCTGATGATGACATGTCAGAGGAAGATGAAGAGCCTCAGGAGAGTCCGCGTCAGCATCTTTCAATGTCGATTACTCCCGTCAGAGTCACCCGCGACACGCACCGCACCATCCACACTGTTTCCAAGGTGCCATTGAAACCCGAAGGCGAGGTGTCGCCCCTGAAGATGCCCCGGAAACGAAGCAGGTCCCTTTCGAATGGGCCGACGACCCCTACCCGGACCTCGCCCAGACGTCGTGCCAACGTGGTAACGCGGAGCCAAACTTCGGCATCCATATCTCCTGGGAAGTCGCGGCATGCCTTGGAAGACCTTGATCCAGAGGATGTTCCAACTGACACGGAAGCTGAGGGAGCTCAATCCAAGCCCGTTTCGACCACTGCAACTCCTGCGAAGACTCCGCGACGGAACATCACGGCAGACGACCAAGTTCTGCGGGTGCCGTTGTGTTTGTCGACGTCCACACCACCGAGGGCGAAGACGCCAGCGGCATTTTCGTCGAGCTGCTGACCCAGATGGGTGCGCGCTGTGTCAAGACCTGGTCTTGGAACCCGCGGGCAAGCCAGTCGCCAGACGGGGTTGATCCAAAGGAAAGCAAAGTGGGCATTACGCACGTCGTCTTCAAAGACGGTGGGGTTCGGACGTTGGAGAAAGTGAGACAAGCGGGAGATCTTGTCAAATGTGTTGGTGTTGGCTGGGTTCTTGAGTATGTATCACCCTCTTGCAGATGTAGAACTGTTTGCTAACACGTCTTCCAGTTGCGAGAGAGAAAACAAATGGCTCGATGAGACGCACTACCTCGTTGACAGCTCGATCATTCCCCGCGGAGGGGCCAAGCGCCGCAAGAGCATGGAGCCTCGGGCGTTGAGCAACGTCAACGGGTCTGTGACCTCGTCGGGCAGCAGGAGACGGTCTCGCGTGCCGGCCGACTGGGAGACGATGGATCAATTCATGCGGCTCAGTCCCAGCACAACACCACCAAACGCCGGCGGCGCGTCTCGCACCCTTGCCGACCCACCCAAGACTCCAGACAACAGCAGCAGCTACGAGTTCAACTTCGACTTTTCGGCCATGTCCCCCGCGACGCCGTACTACCTGTCCCAGGGCGCGAAGCTAGTCCAGCAGACCTGCCCGCCGAAGCAGACGCAGCAGGGCCTGTTCTCCCCGCTGACTAAGAAGAACGATGACCAGCCGGAAGCCAACTTGCGAGTCAAACTCGAGGCCGCGAGGCGGAAGAGTTTGGTTTTCAAGCCTAAGATTGGGAGTCCGCTAGGACGGTAGACCCAATCTAGCTGGTTCTATCGCAGTGTGTGCGCGCGTGTGCATGGATTGGGAGTAATGGGATTCTGGTGACGATCTATGTATGTACCCTACCACATTGACTTGACCTGACTGCGTTGTTTATCTGCATGTTCTATATTGTACTGTATACCTCATCTGGAGGATCCGATTGACATGTTTCATTTATCATTTTTTTTCCGGTTTTTGGGGGAGTCTGGGTTTAGGGTCTGACTTTATTTATTGGAATGGCGTTCGCTGGATGGATGATGGATGGGCGGATGTATGAATGGATACTACAGTCATAAGAATACCAATGCCAATAAATATAAATGTTAAATTAAACGAGTAATTCCTCAGCAGTCATCATCCTATTGTATCATAGTGTAGTTTGTGCTGGTGATGGTGGTTCTCCGCCCTTTTGTTTTCCGTCTGAGTCAGATACCGTATAGATAAAAATATGTAGATTGATAGACAGGTAAAGAGGGAACAAAATGGTATCTTCTATTTTCTATTTTTCCCCTCTAGTTTTAGGAAAACCTCTGTATAATATTCCTCTTTTTCCCTTTTTATGCCATAGCATATACACACATTCTCACTATCCTTCTGATGCAGACTCTGTATGTGTCATGTGTTTCTTCATGGTTCGTTCCTTGATGCAACTAGCTGGCTATCTACGGAGCAACTAAATATCTATCTAATCACTGGCTGACTGCGTTTTTGCCAGGTATGTGCACTAGGTATATATAAAAAGCATATAGCGAGCAATCAGTAAAAGTGGTTTTTTTTTCTAAATATCGGTCGGCTCCTCCAACTCCTCGCGGTAAAATCCAGCGACCAGAAAGGCCAGCTCCAGCGCTTGCTTCTCGTTCAGGCGCGGGTCGCAGAACGTCTCGTAGCGCTCGCTGAGGCCTTCCTCCGTCAGGCCGCCTGCGCCGCCGACGCACTCGGTGACAGCCTCCCCCGTCAGCTCCAGGTGCATGCCACCCAGGAACGAGCCCATCGCGCGGTGGATCTCCAGCGCCTGCTTCAGCTCCGACATGATGTCGGAAAAGTGGCGCGTCTTGATGCCCGAGGGCGTCGACTGCGTGTTGCCGTGCATCGGGTCGCATTGCCACACGGGCAGGTGGCCCGACTTCTGCACCGCGGCGATGTGGCCCGGCAGGTGTTGCGCGATCTTGCTCGCCCCGTACCGCGTGATCAGCGTCACCTTGCCGATCTCCTTGCTCGGATTGACCGTGTCCAGCAGCTGCACCAGCTCCTCCGCCGTCATCGTCGGCCCGATCTTGATCCCGATCGGGTTGCTCAGGCCCCGGAAGAACTCGACGTGCGCGCCGTTTACCTGCCGCGTGCGGTCTCCGATCCAGAGGAAGTGTGCTGATGTGTCGTAGTAGCCTCGCGGGGGTGGTGAGCTGGTGGAGGATGCTCTCCGGTGGCGAGCGGTGGACGACGACGAAGAGGAGAAACGTGACTCCTCAGACTCAGACAGCGCGTCAGGCGGATGTCGCATGAGACGCGTAAAGCACTGCTCGTACTCGAGCGACAGGCCCTCGTGGCTCGTGTAGATGTCGACCGTGTGCACGCCGCGGTCTCGGTCCAGGCCGACGGTGCGCATGAACCGCAGAGAGTCGGTGACGCGGTTGACGATGCGTTCGTACTTCTGCTTGATGGACGGCGTGATGACGTGACCCAGGCCCCAGTCCAGCGGCGAGTGCAGGTCCGCGATGCCCGAGGACAGGGCAGCTCGGAGGTAGTTGAGCGTTGCGGCCGAGTGGAAGTAGGCCGACACGAGCCGCGACGGATCTGGCCTGCGCGATTCCGGCGTGGCAGCGAAGCCGTTGATGTTGTCGCCTCGGAAGGACAGCATCGTCACGCCGTCGACCGTCTCGGTAGGACTGGAACGGGGTCTGCAGAGATTATTAGCTTGGAACGACAGCTAGACAGGTTCCAACAGACGGACGTACTTTGCGAACTGGCCTGCTATCCGCGCTATACGGACGACGGGCTTGTTGGCTCCTATAAACTGGTCAGAAAAGTCCATCTGTAGGAATAGTAATGTGGTGGCATACCCCAAATCAAGACCAGACTCATCTGCAGCAGGAGCTTCACCTTGGCCTCAATCTTGTCCTGGTTGCAGTAGTCGAACAGCTCCGCGCAGTCACCTGGAGTCATATCAGACACGGTCCACGTGAGACAATAATATACAGCATGTACTGTATATATGTCGACATACCTCCCTGAAGAACAAAGGCCTTCCCAAGAGCGACATTCCGCAGGCATTTCTTCAGGTTGACAATCTGCACATGTCGTCAGCCTTGGAACAAGCAAAATACTGGTACTGCATAGGGCATATACCTCCTGCGGCGTCACCAAGGGCGGCAATTTCTTCAGCTTCTCCAGGGCTGCTTTGACGGCTTCGGGGTCGTCATAGGTCACATCTTGCTTGATGGGTTTTGTTGTCCAGGCTGAAGGCAACGTTAGTAGATGGCATGAAACAGTGCATAAAGAAGGCCCAGATGAAGAGAAAAAAAAATAAAGAGAAACGCAGATATTTGAGAACATACAAGTGGGACTCCAGTCTTCCATGACTTATTTTTTCTTGACTGCGGGGAATTTTTTCGATGCGTCGCGTCCGTCACGTCAGAAAAAAGTTTCGAATGTAGTACTCCCTTCTAATTGGGGATTCAATCTGAAAATAGCATGCAAGAGGTAAATGGATGGACGTGCTGTAGAGCTGATGTCTGTCTGGCCAGTCGAAAAAATATTTTTGTACTGAATTATTGAGTCACAGATTGAACGGTACAGTACTGGCGTAAGGAAGGACCTGATATGCCTCTCTCTTCCAGCCGAGAGAAGGTAGAGCAGCAGCTCTCCAAACGAGAGAGAGATCAATTAATTAATTCAATAGTCCCTTCGAATCAAGCTTGATTTATTTCTAAACAAAGAAAGTCAACGACTCGCTGCAAGGAGTCAGTCGTCCATGTCATTTCATCCCCGCCCCGATGTTAGCCGCAAAGCCTGGAATGGGAAGATTACCTAAGTTACATTACGTAAGGTACGGTACGAGCCGTAAGCTAAGCTTAGGGCAGACCCACCACCGTATGTCCAGCACCCTGATAAATAACAATAACTATCTATCTATCATAACAATTCCTCACCAGTCCCTTCCCTCCCTCTCTGCAAAAAGAAAAAAAAGAAAAAATGGCATCCGCCGAGACAGACCCTGACGCTGCCAACGAGCAGCAACAACGGCTCCCCGCCAACGCCGAAGACCGCAAAGCCGCCGCTGCCCTCTCGTCGCTCAACGCCAACGAGATCTCGCAGTCCGGGACCGACGAAGACAATGCCGGCTCCAAGATCTCCTCCGCAGACGCGCAGGAAGCGCTCGGCAAAGCCATGAGTCGCCTGGACATCTCCGCTGGCGGCTCCGGTGGTGCCAGTGGTGGTGGCACCAGCAGCAGCAAGGCCGGCGGCGGCGCTGGTGGTGCGGGGAAGACGACGGACGCGGAGAAGAAAGACGAGGCTGTAAAGAAGAAGGCTGTCAAGGTGGCTGCGGAGGATGTGACGTTGCTGGTAAGTATACACCCAATAGGATCTTTTTTGCTGGGGTCGATCAGCGGGACTGATTGTTGTGCTTCTTTCTTCAGGTCGAAGAGCTCGATCTCACCAAGAACAAGGCCACGGAGCTGCTCAAGGCCCATGACGGAGATGCCACGAAAGCGATCAAGGCGTTTATCGCCCCTTCTACCTCCACCACTACTGCTGCCGCATAATTTCCTCGTCGTTTTTACCCTGATATGAAAGCACCGACAGCGTGAATAACGGTCTCGATGGCCTAGAGATCCTCCCGGCAAGGTCGAGGACGAGACAGCTTACTTACTATAGATCTGTACGGACAATGCCCATTGTCAAGTGAGACATGATAAAGGAGATTCCCAAATATCTTTGCGCCGTTCAGCTGAGGGACAATTGCGTCATGGATGTACTGTACATACCTATGTACCACATGTGTAACCGATAGACAGACCATGTGGAGGGAATAGAAGCCGGACAAGAGGAAACAAAGGGAAGAAATATGTTTTTAAAAAAAATACTTCAAATTAATGATGCATGATGTGATGATATCTACCCGCATAGCTAAAGAAGTCGTTTATTCGTGTCATGCATGGTACCTCTTTCTACTTGACAAGTCAATTCTGGTCATGATGGTATTGGTATAGGCGTCACACGCAGATCCAGACAAGACGTCATCATTCTAAGTCATCCATCCATTACCTTACCTTCTCGCTAGTGTCGTTCTTCTTCCTCTTCTTCCCGCAACTGCCGCTCTTCTATGGCAGCCTTCTTTTTCTCAATTCCTTTCCCCTCGTAAACAGTCCAGGTCAGGATCCACCCCAACGTCGCTTCCACGGCCAGCGCCCACCAGACCGCGCCAACGATGTTGTTCTTCAGGCCCATTCCCAATCCCCAGCCTCCCAGGAAAGGCCCCAGCGTGCGAGCACCGCTCGAAATGCTCTGCGCGATCCCGTGGACCGTCCCCAGCACCGTCGAGTCCGTCACGCAGTTGTTGACGAGGATGATCGCCGCCGGCAGGGAGAAGGTCCGCGAAACGACCTGCAGGGCGACCACGACGGTAAACGCCGGCCAGACCAGGGCCGGGTTTCGCGGAACGAGAACGAGGAACGGCATCAGGACGTACGCCAAGGGCGACAGGGGCAGAAACGTGCGGAAGCATCGCAACGTCCCCAGCCGGAATTGCACGCGCGGATACACAAAGATCTGCAGCGGCAGACCGATTATCCCAATGATGGCCGTTGCAAGTCCGACCCGGGACGACGACAGCCCGAGTCCGCCGCCAAAGTGGAAGAATCCGCTGCGGCTGCCTTCCGGGGCCCGGGGCGTGGGCAGGAAGACGAAGGTCATGGCATTGAAGGCGCTCGTGTGCATCGCTAGGAGGAAATGCGTCAACAGCGTCAGCAGGACATTCCGCTTCCAGATCTGGCGGAACGGTGAGCGCTTGGGTTGGCGGGGCGGCGAGAGGAACTGTCGAGGGGTCGTGGGACTGGGCGGTGCAGATCGCTCCAGATCGATGGAGTTGACATCGTCAGGATCGTCGTTGAGGCGAGTATAACGCGGCTCGTCTCGTTGGGAGCGCAGTCCCCTAGCCAGAGCCTTGCCCAGTTTGCGACCCCAGTCGGGGTTGTACCGGGCCACTTCGTGGGTCTATATCATGTCTCGTCAGCGAGAGGACAAGCAAGCAAAGTTAAGGATTTGATATACCTCGTCCAGACCCAGAAACACTGCGAGAAAAGAGGCGAAAATGAATACCGCGCTCAGCAAGTTAGGCAAGGCAAACGGCCAGTGCTGCATCCACCACACGCCGTCTTTGCCTCCAAAGAACGACCCAGGCCCAAACAGGCCGGGATAGCTGTTGACGGGGTCTGCTAAGATACCACCCAGGACAGGACCGATGATGACGCCAATGTTGAAGCACATGGGAAGAAGCAGGAATGCCCGTGATTGATATCTACAGCAGTCAACACCTGTCCGTCAGGCCATAGTAGAATCGGCAACTACTCACTTCTTCTCTTGGATGATTTCCGCAATCATCGTCCTCATGACGCCGACGTTGCTGTTCAGGACGCCACCCAAGGTCCGAAACACGGCCGCGGCAGCGAACGAGCGCGAGAATCCGAAGCCCAGGCAGGAGATACACGTCCCCGACAGCCCGATCAGCAGCACTCGCTTCCTCCCCATCCAGGGCGCGTCCGCCAGGCGCCCCCACCACATGGCGGTCAGGAACTGGGCGGCCGTGAAGCTGGCCTGGAGGATGCCCGCCTGGGCGGAGATGGTCGAGTCCGGCAGCGACGGGTCGAACGACTTGAGCTGGTAGAACAGGTACGACTGCAGCGACGTCTGGGTCAGAGGTTCGGACAGGCGGGCCAGCGTGAGGATGGCGAGCTGGCCCTTGTTGGGCAGGGAGCTCCACGTCACGGGCTTTTCGTCGGGAGGGCCATTATCATCATCCTTGGTGGTGGCATCTCTGTCCGTCCGGGTTTCGTCTTCCTCCGTCAGAGAGAAGCGTCGCAGGACGCCGTTGGATGGGACAGCATTGGATAGAAGCTCTCTGCGGGAGTCGCTACTCAGCCTGCTCCCATCTGCGTCGTGTTGTTCATCGTCGACAGCGGGGAGCCGATTATCATGCGCTTCTTCTTCTTCAGCTTCAATTTCTTCAGACTGGGTGGATGCGGGAAATTCCTCCTCTCTGCTGCTGTGTCCGTCTCCTACATGTTCACGGGCAAGATGTTGCTGGTGGGGAGAAGAGCCTGAACTCATCCACAACAGATTTAAACAGAATAATAAGTTGGGGGTGGAGGGAGAAAGAGAGCTGTCGAGCTGAACTACGAACCCTACAGCAATTGCAAATACAGGGTCAATGATTCGTTGAAGAAGGACGCTTTCGAGTCCTTCCTTCTCTATCACGAAGCAGTGATTTCTCTCACAGGAAAGCATATGTACTGTGCTATTATTTATCAATCTATTTTATCGCTGCCTCTCGTTAATTAGTCAGGTCGTAACGCGCAGCCCTCTTGACGCCATCGCGCACTAACCGCACCGGTGATAGACCCGCTGCGGAGGGCGAAAATGCTTGTTTTGTTTCTGCCGACTTAGCCGAGCGGCGCTTCGTTTAATCTGGGAAAGCAATCACTTGACGCGTGGCAGGCAGATTCTCAATCAGAGGAGAGCACATGACCAGTGACAGCTTTGCAGTCATTGATGTTGATGCACTCCTTGCTTCCTGCTATTAAATCACTGCATCCCAAACAACCACAACAGGAATAACAATAATAAACAGCAGAACGAAACAAAGAGAGAATCAATCATTATATCATCTCCAGGGATAAAAACGAAAGCCAATCAAAAAGGAACAAGAAAAATTAAAAAGAGAGAGTGCGCCGACCGGGATTCGAACCCGGGTCACGGTCTGGGCCCACTATCACACCTTTATCGGATGCTGAATGGGAGGACCGTATCGTAACCCCTTGACCATCGGCGCAATGCTTATTCATCGCCCGCGGAAGATTGACTGATGGTGTTGCCACTCTCGGTTTCCCATCAGGGTTATATATACACATTCGGCAGGAAGCAGTTATTTTTGGTTATTTCATGATAGTGAAATAGATGAAATTATTATATATATGTACTCTTCCTGGTCTCTCGAGTTTGGTTAGTCCATTCATTAGAATTAAACCAGATTTCTCCTATAACAAGCAGCATATTGTGTAAGACTACTGTAGAATAGACCAGACTCAACTCACTGCACTTATGTACGTATGTACACTTCATAATATTAATAGGTTATGGTCTTGGTGAACATAGTTATCGTACTAGTTGCATGTTTATTCTCTCATTTTTAACTTCTGTCTTGAATTCGACTAGCTTCTGCAGACCAGTCCTTCGGTCTGCATCATGACTGCATTACAACCGCGGCCGTATTGTCTGGCTGCCCTCCCAGAATTCGCCCGCCTCGAGCGTTTGCCAACCGCCCACAGCGCCCGGCTCCACGCAGACCATCTCCTTGTACTCCTCGTCTCCAAAGTCGCTCATCCCCTTGGCTTTCTCCGTCCACGGGTTCCACAGCGTGATGGTGTTCAGTCCCTGGCGGGTGATCGACAGCGGGGCACTGTCGTCGTCGGCAGTGGCGACGATGACGGGCACAGCGGGGTCCACGTCTTGGTAGACGCGGTCCGTCTCTTGCGTGATGGCGATCGCGGGAGAGGATTCCGTCTTGAGGGCGTAGTTGTCCGTCTTGTCCGTGTAGGACTTGTTTTGGAGGTTCTTGACGCGAATCTTGGAGATATCCTAGTAACAAAGAAAGTAGCAGCGTTAGCCAGAGAATTCACTCCAAGCGATGGGGTGAAGTCGCTTGCCTTGACTCGGAAATAGTTGTGCAACAGCACGTGGAACTCGAATGCTTCGGTCCCTTTGTTCTGCACCTGAAGCGAGGTCTCCAGACCCTCCGAGCTGAGGGTGACACTGTACACGAGCCCAAATTCGTACGGCCACGCCTTGCGGAATTCCTCACTCAGCATGTCGGACGACAGGCCAAAGTCGAGCTTGACCGCATTATGCGTCTTGCTCTTGTCGCTGCCCAGCGACTCGGACGTCGATTTGCCCAGGAACTCCCAGTTCGTGCTGCGTGCGAAGCCATGCTGCGGCAGAGCGGACGTGGCGTGGTTCTTTGGCGGGGGACCGAAGACCTAGATGTCGACAATCAGTCTCGCTCCAAGAAAAATCCATATAGTGATTGTAGGAAGAAACAGCATACCGGAAACACAACCGGAATGCCGCCCCGGATGGCTTTCGAGCCGTCCAGATGGGCCTTGGAGCTGACAAACAGCTGCTCCTCCCCGTTGGCCAGCTTCCACGACGTCACCGTGGCGCCGTACAGATACACCTGCACCGACTCTCCGGAAGGCAGGGTGGCCTCGATGCGATTGTCGTGGATGGTGACGGTGGGCTGGGGAAGGGAAGCGGCCACCCCAATGGCGGCGGGCTTGTTGGAGCGATCCATTGCCCCGCGCAGACTCGTCGAGCGTACCTAGCTTTACCTGGTGCTGTTGAATCGGGTTATTCGTTGTTGAAACTGTCTGGGGGAATAAAGCGATGCAAGGTAAACAAGAAAGTCTCTGACTGCAAATCGAAAGTGGAGGATTGACGAGCTAGCAGCTGTCAGCATGCACTGTACCTGCCGGGGTGGAGCGAAGCAGCGAGGGGCAGACGGTGGAGGGGCAACCGCTGTCCCGCAATCATCACATCACCGCCGCGCTCGCATCTGGTCCCCTGAATCGCTTGAACTTAATCAGTCGAGTAAGAACTCAAAGATTTCTACAGAGCACTGATGAACATAGTCACGTATCATTCAGCAGAATGCTACCAAGGATCAATGCCGTTATCCAGAGTGGGTACGTCGCTCATCATCCGGCACCGGTGGAGATGACGCTATTTCCGACCAGGAACAACATCATAGTGGAGCAAGGTGCATTGAGTAGAGCTTCATTTAATAGGAGATCGTTTCCTTTACTCTGCTTATTATCTACGTCTACTTTTGATCTTGCAAGTCTCTCGAATGCAATCTATCTATCTTATTTAAAATATTACTCTTTGCGGGCCCGATAACCATTTGCGGGGCACGCCCTATCTGGCTAGCTTCCGATTCAAGTATCTATCGAGATATCTAATTGAATACATTGGGGAAAATGCTCTACCTAGTAGGCCTGTCTCGCGCTGAGAAGAGATTTTTCCACCAGAAGAGGGCGAACCAATTACCGAAGATTCGACCGATGTGTTTGTCTTTGGTATAGGATGGACAGCCAGTGGAGAGAATGACATCACCTAGATACCATGAAACCATCAGTATGAATCTATGCTGCGATGTATTCATTCACACTGTCACCCCTGCTGCCAGATCATGCTGGTCTTCCCCTCCAGGCTGACTCTCTCGATGCGTCGGATCTCGTCCTGCGACAGCCGCCACCCCAACGCCTGCATGTTCTGTCTCGCCTGGTCTGCGTTGCGGATCCCCACGATAGGCACCGCGCCCTTGCTGAGATTGTAATTCAGCGCCACTGCTCCGATCGATACCCGTTTGTCCTCTGCGATCTGCCGCAGGACCTCAATGGCCGGCTCGATCTCGCTGATGGGATAGCTGCTAAACCGGTACGACGGCGACGGCGGATTCCCCTGCGAGTATTTGCCCGTCAGTCGCCCCTGCGCCAGAGACGCATAGCTCTGGAAGACGATGCCATGGTCCCGGCAGGCCCGGATCAGGCCGTGCGTCTCAGGATGCCGTCGCAGCACCGAGTACTCGCATTGATTGATCGTCAGAGGGATGCCGTGTCGACCCAACGCGTCTGCCATCCGCAGCATGTCGTCCTTGTCGTAGTTGGCCACGCCCACGGCCCGCGTCAGCCCTTCCTCGACACACTCGGCCAGCCCCTTGGCCACTGTCGCGATCGTGCTCGGGTGAACATGCCCGTGGACCAGGTAGACGTCGACGTAGTCGAGTCGCAGCCGCTGCAGCGACTCCTGGAGCTTCTTCTTGGGCGCCTGAGACTGCCCCATCAGATTCACCCGGTCCGGGATCGAGAACCACTTGGTCTGGACCACGAACTCGTCGCGAGATAGCCCATTGAAAAGATCCCCGCAGATGCGCTCGCTCTCGCCGCTGCCAAACGCCTGTGCCGTGTCCACCCAGTTCAGACCCGCCAACCGCAATATCTCCCAGGCCTCCTTGATCCGAGGCAGCTCCTTGGGAGAGTACTTCCAGGTGGCCGTGTCCCCCCATGCCCAGGCACCGATGCAGAGATACGGGACGAGGACGTCGCGCTTTGCGCCGCGCAGGAGCAGTCGGCTTTGAAGGTCCGGGACCTCATGCTCCGGCAGCACATGGGCTGCGTCGCTCTTGGCTGGATCCACCGTGTGGGCTTTCGAGGGGTAATTGCGTCGATGGACCCGTTGCAAGATCTCCTGGTCCATCGGGAAATGTAGATCTTTCAATCCATGAAGCGTGTTGGTGGAAAGCGACTTTTCTTCAGGTAAAGATCGTAGTCCGAGAACCTCCTCCAGTCCATGGTCATTATCAGCAAGAGACGGAGAATTGAGGCCAGGGAAACGAACCTCTCGACTGTGTAGCCAATAGTAATAGTTTCCACCAGAGTTGGAGTAACGAAATAAGGTAGATCAGCACACATCACTATGACACAGGACAGAGCAGACAACCCGTGGATCGGGTATGCGGTGGTTTGGTTCGACTCCCATCATTGATAAAGGTGCCTTTCATCGTCCAAGTTTGTATCCTGCAAGTAATGCTACATCAAATGTAATGTATGATCTTGGTATTTCTGTGAGAGTATATAAGACTAAACACACAACCCTAATGCATACATGTATACCACCCGAAATAGCTTTCTTCCTTTTCTGCCATGGCTTTTCAGAACGCATCAACACAATAGGACATAGACCAAAAAAAAAGACATAATTCAATACCACCCAATCTGCATCCCAGTGGAACACCCTGCACATCCGGTGCGCCTTCGCTATGCACGCCTGAAATAACAATTGAGAAAGGAAACAAAAAGACAGTCTGTTCAGTCGCCGCCATATCTCCTCGCGGCTTCATGTGCTTCAACCCGGATATCAAACATCACATCATCCACTTCTCTCAAGACACTTCTCGTCAAATTCACCTTCTTGATATTGCTGAGGACTTGGCGGAGGGAGTTGATGATCGCTTCTCCTGTGATCTCATGTTTGTCCTCAGTTTCGTTCGTCTGTACCGCCTCAGATACGTAAGTCTTCATCACTGTATCATCCGAGGCCTCCTGTGGAGCACGGATATCCGTATCATTCCTCATCACATCGGTGCCCACGCCATTCTCACCAGGCTCTTCCAGTTCAGTTCTCATATTATCATCAGCAGGGGCTTCAGTAACCGTAGCTGGTTCACTACCAGCCACAGGCTTCCCTGTCTCTGTCTCTTCCGGAGCTTGAACGTCAGGTCCGGGACTACTATCTTGCAATGCCTTCTCTGATGGTGGCCCATCTGGAGTCTTGCTCAGAGGCGGTTCTTCAGATGACTCTGCAGCATTTTGAGCAGCATCAGTGGCTTTTGTACGACTGCGCAGAACTCTAGACGGTCTCGAAACTGGCTCCGGTTCGAGAACAGGCGAAGCTGGGACACCACTAAGACGTAACGATCTCCTCTTTTTCTGGGGCGGGTTCTCCAAGTTCGCGGGAGAGCGGACGGCATCAGTATCATTGGTGCCCTCATTGATACGACTACTCTTCCTCTTGGACCCTGATCGCAACGCATGACTGGTTTCGAGATTTGGCTTTTCCTTTTGTTTGCTTTTTGAGGACGATGGTGTCGAGACTTTGTCTGCTGGGGACGCAGGCTGACGACGTTCGGATGCTGTTCCGGCCTTTTTCGAATTTTTAGGTGTCTCTTTGACGACTTCTTTTGCGACTTCTTTTGCGACTGCCGAAGAGCTCCTGAGAGATCGACGCTTACCCCGGTCCGGCGTAGAAGACAACTCTGCTGCTTCTGCTTCTCTCTTCCTCTTCCTTGTCATTGGAAAGCTATATGGAGGTTCGGGTTGTGACCGTGTCTCCCGGACCTCGTCCAAATCTGCGGCCAATTCTAGATCTTGCTCTATTTGAGAAGCAACCTGCTGTTCCAGGTCATCACTAAATGAGTCAGGAACTATATCTGCCGGTGCGCTGTTGGTGCTTTGCGGCTCTTCTGCTGCCGTAGCAGGGGCTTCTTTGAGTCCGTCAGACATTGGAGGAGCTTGATTGGAAGACTGATCCGTTACAGGATCATCCGCAGGAGACCGGTCTGGCCCATTCCCTTCCAACATAGCAGGAACAACAGAAGAATCGTCAGGTTGGCCCGCACAATCATCCTTTCCCGCATTTGAACCATTGTTCAACGGTGCCACGGATTCACCCTCTGGAAGTGATGGAGAGACCTGTCGAGAGACCTTTCCACGGCTGTGTGAGTGCCGTTTCAATTCAGGCGGAGAAGATGGTGGGTCTGCCTCGCAAGTCTCGAGAGCGTGAATTGACAAAGAGGAGGGAATTTTAGATTTGTCAAGCGGGGTTCTGTCCTTTGTTCCAGGAGTCGGAGAGGATCCAGGGAATTCATCATCATTCTCCTGCAGGGCCCCAGCAAGTGTGGGCGTAAGTGGAATTTCGGAGGTAGGACCGGAATTCCGCAAGCTTGACAATTGCACAGGAGTTCGAACTTCCGCATCTTTAGCTGGGCTAGGAAGTGCTGGAGAGGAAGGTCGCAGTCCGTCCAAAAACATTGACGTCTCACCGCGTTGTCTTTCCCTAACTTCTCGTTGGCGTCTAGTAAGCACTTGGCTCTCTGGTCCAGATTGGAGAGACGGGGACGACTCGACTGCAATAAATTGAATCTGAGAGTCATCATGGCGCAGACGACGCCTCGGAGTGAGATCAGTTCCCATCTTTGGCAACGTATTGATAGCTGGCTCCTGTGCTTGCACAATCGGAGAAGAACTAAAACTAGTCGGTCGAGCGGCCTTAAGTTGGTCTCTTCTGCCACGACTTATGTCGGCCATCTCCTGGATGACCTGGCTCACATCTCCGTCTTGAGAATCCACAAAATCGGGGGTTGTTTGACCGATCTACCGTTCGTCAATCACCAGGATCTAACAAAACAGATTTGAGTACGCACCTGCGAATCACTTTGTAAGGGCAATGAGGGCAAGTGCAATTCGACATATGGCTCTAGCTTCCTGAGGGCCACAAGCACAGCCGCAGGATATGTGAGAGAATCCCGCGAACCGAAAGTGGTATTCCACATTTCTATGAATCTGTTCGCCGTGGATCTATGCACCGATTCAAGGCCTGCGGAGATAATCACCTCGAATTTGTGGAGACTGGTATCATCATGGGGTACGGCGGTCTGTAAAACATTCGCAGCCGCCAAAGCAAGAGTACGGCACTGTACACGTTAGTCTGGAATGAGCAGGAAGCAAACACTGATTGCACGTACCGCAGTCAAAACTTTGCTATCTGCGCCATTCTCCGTGGTGAGATGACGAGAATCATCCCGCAGCCATAAGGCGAGGGGAGCCTGAAGCCTCTCCAATACGGCCGCACGGAAAGCTAAAACGCCACTGCCCAGCAACGAGGTCATAGATTCGATGACCTCTGTGGTTAATGTGTTTCCATACTGTTTGAATTTCTGATAGAATTCCGAAAGCACGTTTTCAATTAGCTCCAGGAGCTTGTCCGGGAAGAGAATTTGATCGGGCGCAGGCGAACCACGTTGGAAGCCTATTGGCCGTGATTTCGGTTTATTTTGCTGGTGGTAGGGCACAGACAATGAGTGATTGATGAGTGCCTTCAACGGGGCGGGGACTTGTTCCAGGTCCAGCTGTTTGAGGTCTTCTGCCAAGCGCTCGACAATGTATTTCGCAATACCGCGGTCTCCGCGTTCTGTTCGCACTACTCGCACAAATGCATCGAGTAACAGATTCCATTTCGGGTGAGCATCTGGAAACCGCAACCCGCGCGAAAGTATCTTGACGACATTGTCGTAATCGCGGGAAACCGAACCATCACGATCCCTAACCGTCTCCATGGGAAAGGAACGGAGACAGTCTTCAGCGAACTTCGCCGTGGCTTCCCAAATGTATCGAGAAGATTTGGGACGACTGGAGGATTGAATTTCAGCCTCATTCGAATAGATGTCGGCACATTTCTCGAAGAAGTCCAGGCGAGACCCTCTGGACACCCTTCCTTTAGACGCAGCTTCAAGAAGACCGTCGATCAGACTTAGATAGGACGGGCTAGGCTCCGAAATATCAGGAAAAGAGCTTATCATTCGAAGAAGATGCATGAAAGGAGTATCGAGATTAATGTCGCTAAGTGAATGACGATGAGTCGGCGTATTTGCAGTCTGGAAGGTCTCTTGGGCAGTCTTCAAGAGAAGCTTCTCGGTGAATGGTAAGGGGCCGATAGCGGAGATAATTGATGTGGAAAGGAAACGGAAACGGTCCAAAAATTCATCGCCATTTGATGCATTCAACGACGAAGGAGCCCCATTCCAAAGACGCTGCAGGAGGCCGAGTACGCAAGCAATAGCTTGCATCAACTCCGGAGACGGCTTTATCTCTTTGTTTGATGCATCTGACAGCGCCCTTGAAAGATTGACCCAAGCAATAGCGACGCCTGACTCATCGATGGCACGACGGTCCCAGATTGAGGACTTGAAAAGGATTTCGAAGACCTTCAACACGGAGAGTATTCGTGATCGAACCCATTTGCAATCCAAAGAAGGAAGATTTTCCGGCTCAATTTTGCTGGCTTCGTTAATTTTGTTTTCAGTCCATAGCTTGGGCTGAGGGCTCCACAGCAAGAATGATAAAGCTCGGCAAGCTCGTTCATTGAGATTTGGATTTGGTGCGAAGATGTTCGCACAGGGCTGAGTAATATACTCTTCCCAAATGACGTCGAGGTGTTGGTGAGATGTCGATGGACGAAATGCATAATACAGGAGATTGTAGTAGCTTGAGAGCACCACCTGGCTGGTAGCAGCTCCTGGTTTGTCGTACCTTTTCCGCTCGAATTGGGAAAGTATAGGCTTGCTAAGCATCCTAATCATCGAATGGCTAGTCGATTCACTTGGGCTAATAGCGTAGACAAATCGATTCCATCCCAAAATAGCCTGCGCCTTGATTGCAGGCTCACTGCAGTTGAAGCACTTCTGCAGGACGAGAACCCATTCCTTAAAGTGCTCCCACTGATCAATGTTGAATCGTTTGCTTCTCAGAAGCAAGACAATAATGCTCCAAATCTGCGGAACATGGACCCCAGTCTCGGTCGAAGACATCATTCGTGACATCCGCTCGCATATCTCCGAGACAAGTTTCCTCCCCTGGTCGAGATGTTTGTCGAAAATATCGCGAATAGTATTTGACACCATCATGTTTGGCCCCAACGCCATAGACGCTTGGATACCTAAAGAAATGGCTTTCAATCTGGTATCTTTCAGGTGATGGAGCAAGCCGGAAATGAGATGTTCGACCCATAGTGCTGACTGGGAGGCCATTGTCGTCTTCGACTGAGTAAGCACGCGTTGATAGATGCTCAGTCGTTGAGAAACAATTCCATTCCCATTCACACGATCCGTGACATCACTCAAAACAGAAAGGATGCGCGACAGCTTCGAGTTGGTCATGATCTTCGCCGGAAAATTCTGAGTTGACAGAATGTGCATGTAATGAGTTATCACTGACTTGGGTACTTTTGCGTCTTGCAGAGAGTTGATGGATTGGTCGACAATGAAATTTCGGAAATCGTCAGAGAGCTGCCCTGATAGCGCATTGTTCCAAATGAGATAAATCGTGAGCTTCAAGGCATGAATGACTAGGTTCGTCTCCAGCGGTCCTCCTTTTTCAAGATCTCTGCAAATATCACGCTGAATGAACTGGGTCATCAAACCCAACTTCGCGACCATCGCCTCTTCCTCAGGTACCCCTTCATACGCCTTCAATGCTCCCAGGAGGTGCATATATGCGTCTAGCCTCGAGCTCAGAGTTTCGCCAGCCAGCTGCTGAGTGACCGATTCCAACAACATGGCCAAGGACTGGGTGGTTTGAGGGGCTTCATTCGACGGACTGGGAGGCACGGTATTATTCTTGAGAATCGACTTGGCCGGCTTGCATTCGTTGGAAGGCGGTAGAGACCTCAAGCCTGTTTTTGTGGTGGAATTGGAAAAGGTCGGAGGCTTGATGTAGTTCGTCCATGGGGAGAAGTTGACTCGCTTGGATCGTCCACTAGAACGTAACTCGGTAGTTTCGTTATTGGCAGGAGAGTCACCAGGCGTGTCGAGGAGACCCGGCCGGCTCTGCGCTCCATCTACCTCACCATCGCAGAAGGCATGAGATGATGTCCTCGGTGGAGTGGGCGGACGAGCCGGGAGCGCGCTTAGAACCTCCACCATGGTTCAGTGAAAGGAAGGGACGGCTGGTAGGGAAGAAACAGCACTGTAAGTCATGGCTGAGCAGGGTGAAGACCGACTCAGTCAAAGGGCACTGCCCAGGCGTTCAGAGATTTCAGGGGGGTGTCATCTGAAGCAATTGCTGTCCTCGACAATTAATTTTGCTGCTAGTCCGCAGGCACGCCAACGCTGCAGCTGGACGCGCATTGAGCGTCGGGCGAGCCGCGGAGATCGCGCCTTTGGCTGGTGCACGCGTAAAGTGGCCGCAGCGCGTTTTTAAGCCTCAGGCATCAACTAGGCCCACAATGACGCATGGGTTCCTCAGGCCACCACGCTGTCCATGGTTGACGAGCACATCTCCCAGCAACCTGCAAATGGAAAGGTCCTGCGGATTATAATATTAATGCAACTGCCAAGCATTCAATTCGCGACTCCGTAGACATTTGCGTGCGAGGTTGGTCAACTCCTACAAGATGCTCGTTGAGTGGCTTGAGTGCTTGCGGGGAAGCGCTTCGAATCAGCCAGAGTGGAGATATCTGCCCCTCGACCGCCGGGGCACTGGTTTGGGGTCCAGTTCGCCTTAGCGTCAATGATGAACCTCGAGCCTTGTTCTGTATTTCCATCGAGCTTTTGAGACTGCCATCAAGTGGTATAGCTTTTTCTTCCGCTGCGTGCATTAGTTGTTGGCATACTAGTTTCACCGGTCTTTTTGTGTGCGACTGCTTCCACTCGCAGAGAGACAAGACGCCGTTCCCGCATCAGCTTTCCGGAACTTTCTGACCGGAATTCTGGTCGCTCAAGCCAAGCGAAGAACTCTTCAAAACCACATACTTCTTGAATGGTTTGATCAACAATGGCGACGATGGTTTTTGGGGAGCTTCAGGGCCGAGGTACGTAGGAGCGCCAATTACCATGTCGCATGGTGTCAAGGCTAAGACATGAAATGTTCCTGCAGAGAAGCTCGAAGAAGTGGGCAGACTCATCGACACCCTCGAAAAGGACTTAAAAGAAAAGACGTTATCTCCATCTCGTAAGTAATAGGGTACCAAAGACCGGTTCTGCTACAGGCAAAAGCTGACACTCTCGACTGTTCACAGAAAAGGTCCAGACGCTGTTGACGGTGCGACAATATGGCACAAAACCGGAGAACGCAGATCCGATTTACTCAAAAAGAGTATTTCCATCCTTTCCTACAACGGATATATATGGTTTCTAAATTGCTGTAGGGCATAGAGGTATTGGCGAAGTATGGTTTCGAGGGGGAAACTGCTGATATACGCCGTGCCGCCTTGAGATGCATTGCAAATGCTCTTCTCCTGAACTCCAGCACGCGCCAGATTTTTGTGGATACAGGCTATGGTGGCAAGCTAGCAGAAAGACTCAAGGTATGTAGACAGCTTTCCCAAAGTCTCCTTGGATGATCATTAATCGTTGTCGTTGAATAAAGACAGATAATTCAGAAGACGAGATGATTGTGTCTCGGATTCTATTTCTCTGCACCTACGATACTACCATGGATTTTGATAAACTCATTAAACAACACTCTCTGGGCGACAACGTCAACTATGTAAGAAGCCTAAGAAATTATCGCATCTACCCACTTCTGACCCATGGCAGCAAATTGCGAGACATGCGAAGCAATTCCCAAAGAATGGGAAAAAGGCGACGTCCCAATTAGATGAATTAGCTTTGACGGATACGTTGAAATTGGTTTTCAACGTTGCGAAGCTCTATCCGGATTTGGCAGACACGTTCACTCCCTCGATTCCCCACATTTTCAAGATCATCAGCCGCATAGAGATCCCGAGTCAGCCTTTGGATGGTCTGATCGGGTATCTTATCAATGCTCTGTCGACACTCGATCTAGACGAAAAGAAGGGCAAATTCGAAAGCAGCCCGCTTTTCCCAAAGTTTAACCAGAATTGCAATGTGGACAAACTGATCAACATCTTGGACCAGGCAGTATCCGAGTACAAATCAGAGGAGCTCGATTCACGTGCAGTTCCGCTGCTGCATTTGCTCATCACGATCTATGAACTGGCTCCTGAAGGTCCCAGAAAGTACATGCAATGGCTACTTCTCCCTGAAGATAATGATCGCAGCCAACCCATTGGGCGGTCTGATACACTTTCTTCAAAGTTGTTGAGACTTTCCACAACACCATCAACACACCTAAAGACTGCCATCTCAGAGCTGATGTTTGTTCTTTCCGGGAAGAACGCGGAGAATCTGACGAAAAATATCGGATACGGCTTTGCGGCGGGCTTCCTTGCCTCTCGAGGAATGGAAATACCACAAAATGCGGGCGAAGCATTTTCTACAAGCAACGGTGGTTTCGATCCGGATATCAATCCTATTACAGGTCAACGATGGGATGCGGAGCCAAAGGACAACGGGCCTCCCATGAGTAAAGAAGAAAAGGAAAGAGAAGCAGAGAGGCTGTTTGTTCTCTTCGAAAGGTCAGTCCCAATCAATCACTTTAAACTCTTAAAAAAGCTTATTTGCTTACCTGCAAACAGGGCAAAGGAGCGTGGCCTAATCCCTGAACATCCGGTGGCTCAGGCTGCTCGCGAAGGAAGACTTGAAGAACTCCCGGATGACGCCGATAGCGACTGAGATAACAAGTTTATATTTGTTGGTTTACTTCTCAACCCATATTTGGATTCTTGTTGCCATTTTTTCCGGTGTGTTTATCGCCAACATCGTCTTTCGGTTGGAGCTGGAAGGAGCACGGAACAGGGCTGTTCCTTACCAGCAATTCTTGTCAAATGTCAGTTTTCGACGACAGGGCAACACTGTAAATAATACTATGCCTTACCATCATGTAAGATAATAATAAAGAAGTTTCCAATTTTCGTCAAAGTACATAATCCAAATTTCCTCTTTTGTTCCCATGTTGTATGGATGTAGCGCCAAGATAGCCTGATGACGTATTGCCGCTTTTCGAAGCGGAGGGGCACTGTGACTAAGTGCGGTGCAACAAAAAAAAATCGGCAGTATCGCGGGGACCCCCATCAGCGATCATTAATTAATCATTCCACAACCTGAAAACAACCAACATATTCCACCATCGAAACCCATTTTCTTCAGCGTCCTCCTCTTTTATTTTGAATAGATTTTTAATAAAATAAAGCGATCAGTTTGCCCAACATGTCGAAGCCATTCGACCCGGAGAAGGCGGAGAATTTGGAGGAGGTGGGTGCTTATCGGCGCACGCCACTTGCTCGTCGCAACACTGACCCGTGCTGCTAGATGGAGAAGCAATTCGCAGTGAAAGGTCTGCGCTCCAATCGTGCATCCATATGTGAACTTATCTAAACGATCGCGATAGCTGTGGAGCATCTGATGACATACTGGTCAATCCTCGAGAAAGTGCCGGGGTCGAAGCTGCGCCTGACGAAAATGGACGACGAGATTTACGAACATTTCAAGAAGGAATTCCCGGATTTTGACCCCAGCGAGACTATCGACGAAGACAAGATGAAGAGCAAAGAGGGCAAGGAGAAGTGGCGCAATTTCATGAATCAATATGAGAAGAAAATCAGCGACTTCAACTTCGGCACAATCTTGCGAACAAATCCGAAATACGAATACGACAAAGACACCACAATCTTTGGTATGCTCTCGGCTTACCTGGTTTATACAGTTATTGGAGTACTAATGTGTTTTTACAGCGATGCGAATGCAATTCTACGCTATAGAAATCGCTAGGTACGTGGTCTTCTTATAGCCAAACGTGGGAACTACTGACATGCCTTAGGAACCGCGCTGGATTGAACGACTGGATATACGAGCGAGCGCAGAAGGAAAAAGAGAAGTCGAGCTCCTAAATTGCGAGGGAATGGTTTATTAAGCATTCGATGTGATTATTTGGGTCTCTGGACACCTAGTAGGAGCTTGCATAGCTCGAAACGGCCCACGGCGTGCAGCTTGCATCGCAACTCATGCCTCCATCCGTGGTGGACTATATTCGAGTATTTCAGCAGGCTGAAAGGTACTCCATCATATAAATGGAGACCCAAGCTGAAGGTCCTACCGATCTGGAACATTGGCTGTAGTACAGCACATTCTGCTTGCAATCCTGCGATAACAAGTCTTCAATCAACGGAATAACGATTATACCGAATTCTGTCAATTCCTGAAGGTAGATGAGCATGCGACAAAGAATAATATGAGCTATGATACGCGATCACTGTCCCCAAGTCACTTGAAGGTAGCCCTAGTACTCTCCATTCACTGTCACATGACTTGGGATATCCCGCTTGCAGAGAACAATACTAAGCAAAATGCGTCCACCCTATTGTTCTCTGTTTGCCTCGATTGCATCACTCTGCGTGTATTTAAGTATTTGTTTCTCTCCAAATTTACACAATTCCATGTTCTCAGCATGTCTGTGGCTTGTTTCCCTAGGAGACGGCATCATCGTCCCTTTCCTATTTTCGCATTGACATCGTCCTCCAAGATACAGAAAGTGTCAGTCACAAATGGGGGCATTTCGACACGGACATGTCACCCAAAACTAAAACGCGTGTCTCATCTGGGACCCAAATGTCCGAAGGGCAGGAAGTGTTGGCTGACGATACTCGTCCTGAACACGAAGGCGAAGCGCAACTCGATGCAAGCTGGACTACGCTATTTTGCTTCACTTCACGGAAGCATGCTCTCATAGTCGCGTTCGCATCCACATTCACCCTTTTTGCCGGCCTAGTCATCCCTGCCTTCGCGATCTATCTCGGGAAGTTGTTCGATTCGTTCACAAAGTTCGGCTCTGAAGCTATTTCCGGATCCCAGTTGCTCGCAAGGGTATCCAACGACGGTCTTATACTTCTAGGATTAGGCGTTGTAGGTTGGTGTCTCAATGGAGGTTACTTCTTTTTTTGGGTTGTATTTGCGGAGCTACAGGCAAGAAGCGCTCGCAAGAAGCTTTTTCGTGCGTTACTGAGCCAAGAGCTTCGATGGTTCGACATGAGGAAAGAAGGAGTCGGAGCATTTTTATCGCACACACAAAAGTAAGCTTGCTCTGTTAAGGGTGTTTGCTGGGAAACTATATAATCTTTTAACTCTTGCACAGACAGATTCGAGAATTACAGATCGCTACATCTCAGCCTCTCGGTTTTACACTGCAACATTTAGTCCGAACTGTCGCAGCGCTAGAACTTGCCTTCTATACTTCATGGAAGGTCGCTCTAGTAACTCTGGCCGCAGTACCATTCTCTTCTGCGTTGATCACCTTTCTCTCCTCCAGGATGAAACCTATCATCGAAGCGCAGCAGTCTAAGCTCACTGATGCTTCCAAGTTGTCTTACGATGCTTTTACTGCTGTCGAAGTCGTAAAGTGTTTCAACGGGCAATTTCCCACGTACTCGCGATTTATTTCGTGCATCAGAGAAGCCGCACGCTGCTACTTGAGGCTAGCACTTCTAACTTCGCTTCAGATAGGTGTCACCCGGCTCATGGCGTTTGGAATGTTCGTCCAAGGTTTCTGGTACGGGAGCTCGTTGGTAGACTCGGGACAACTCTCTTCAGGCGATGTCCTAAGAACCTTCTGGGCTTGTTTGGCGGCTATACAGTCCATAGAACAGATCGTGAACCACCTTCCTGCCTTGGAAAGGGGTAAAATCGCGGGAGCTACTTTGAAGTCTTATTTGCACTGTTCTGACCCGGAAGAATTTCCAGTCGCGGACGGAGACTGGCATTCTACTCCCTGCAGAGGGGACATTGAAGTGAGAGATGTCAGTATATATCGATGCAACTTCTTTTTTTTATAAAAAAAACTAACTACAGTAAAGGTTTCTTTTGCTTATCCATCCCAACCCAAGAGGCTCGTGCTCAGCTCTACAAATATCTTCTTCCCAGCTGGAAAGACGACATTCATTATCGGGCGAAGCGGATCTGGAAAAAGCACTCTTGCTAACCTACTTTTACGATTTTACTCGTCTTACTCAGGTGAAATTCTCATTGATGGGAACCCAATACAGACGATAGATGCCCTTTGGATCCGGAATAACATTACACTCGTTCAACAACAAAGCTTTCTTTTCAACGAAACCCTTTCGCAGAATATTCTATTCGGTAGCAACGACCGGGAAAATGTCACAAGGCAACAAATTGAGGCTTGTATTGAAACTGCAAAACTTCAGGACGTGATCAGCCATTTACCTAAGGGATTGGAAACAGTTGTCGGTGTAGGCGGCAATTTCCTTAGCGGGGGTCAGAAACAGAGGGTCGCTATTGCGAGAGCCAGAATGAAAGATAGCCCGATTCTCATCCTGGACGAGTGTACAAGCGCACTCGATTACCGGAATCGGATTGCAGTGATGGACGCCATCCGTACTTGGCGGAAAGGGAAGACCACGATTATAATCACCCATGATACGACACAAATTCTTGGGGACGACTTCGCTTACGTCCTAGAACGAGGACGTGTGGTCGCTTCAGGTTACAAAAAGGATTTAATAGGAAGTTGCAGCCTTTTCTCTGATGAAAGAGATGGTTTGTCAAACTCGGGAATCAGTGATTCAAAATTGCCAGAGGCTCCTTCAGTTGATGGTTTTCTTGAACTCTCTGATAACGACTCTGATACTTCATCGGATGCGTCATTCGAAGAGACGACATCTCTTCAAACAGCATACATTGACGGGTTCTCTATTCCCCATTACAACGATGAACAGGCTTCCAGCCATTCAAATTTCCAATATGAACACATAAGTGCGCCTCCAATAAGTCACAAGCCAGCCATAGGCCGTCACAAGCCTCCTATTGAGCCAGTCAAACACGTCATCAACGGCGATGTGGAACAGATCCCCGTGCGTCCGATATCATCGCTTCTCAGGATTCTTCTTACCATTCCATCATTCCTGACTTTGAAACAACGCACAATACTTGTGCTTTCGTTAATTTTCGCCATTCTGCATGCTAGTGCAACTCCAATTTTCTCGTACCTACTGTCACAGCTCTTCGAAGCATTCTATGCAGCAGGGAACCGTGCGAATCTGGCAAGGAGATGGTCTTTGTCAGTTTTAGGTCTTGCCGTGGGTGATGCGATTGTATCGTTTATTATGCACTATCTCCTGGAATACTGTGGCCAGGTCTGGATGGATTCACTCCGGAATGAAGCCATGAGGAGGATCCTCGATCAACCACGTTCCTGGTTCGAGGAGGAGGAAAATAAGCCTCTCCATCTGACGGCTTGCTTGGACCAAAATGCTGAGGAGATTCGAAATCTTGTTGGTAGGTTTGCTGGCTCCGCACTGGTTGCTGCCGTGACTATAATCATGGCCGTTGTGTGGAGTTTCTTCATCTGTTGGAAACTGACGCTGGTCAGCCTCGCATGCGGTCCAGTTATGTATGCCATCACAAGGGGATTGGAGAGCGTGAACAGAAAATGGGAATCTCAGAGCAACGATATCAACGAGACAGTTGCTTCCATTTTTTCTGAGACGTTTTCTGATATCCGTACTGTGAGAGCCTTCGCGCTCGAGTCATACTTTCATTCGAAGCACTCTGGGATCTTGAGGAAGGCAATGATTGTGGCGCTGAAGCGTGCTGCATATTCCGGGATATTCTTCGGTCTTGTTGAATCGGCAATCATCTTTGCAAGCGGTAAGAGATCCTCAAAGTGGAAGATGAAAACTGCATTCCTCTGACCATTGTATAGCGTTGCTCTTTTACTACGGAGCAGTCCTGACATCGTCAGGAGAATTCGCTGCAACGGATACTATATCCGTATTCGCAATGATTCTATTCAGCATTGGTTATGCGAACACTGTTATATCCTGGAGTACGTTGGGAATGGACACCATTCTCTTCGCCCCTTCCGAAGATAATTGCTAACCCACTGACCGTCGATTTAGTTCCTCAAATTAACTCAGCCTGTGATACTGCGACCCGTCTTCTGCGCCTTTCTCGCCTACCCTTCGCGTCATCACACGAGCACGTTGGTAAACTGCGAGTCTTCGAGCCAGTTCCGGTGCAGTTCACCAACCTCAAATTTCGATATCCTCGACGTCCAGAAGCTCTAGTTCTCCGAAACTTCTCCCTCACTATCCCAGCAAATTCATGCACTGCCATCGTCGGATGCTCCGGATCGGGAAAGTCTACCATAGCATCTTTACTGCTGGGTCTCTATCCTTCGTCGTCGTCTCTCAGCGGACCACCAGCCATCACCCTTGGAGGAATGGATATTTGGCAACTACATATTCCCACCCTGCGATCCCTGATTGCTCTTGTGCCCCAGCATCCTAGATTATTTGCTGATACCATCAGAGCCAACATCGCCTACGGGCTCAACCCATGCTCCCGACTCAACTCGATGAAGAACATTCGGGCTGCTGCGCAAGCGGTCGGAATCGACGAATTTATCTGTTCGCTTCCTGAAGGCTATTCCACTCTGGTAGGAGACGGGGGTCTCGGACTCTCTGGTGGACAAACGCAGAGACTGGTGATCGCACGGGCACTCGTTCGCCAGCCAAGAATCCTGATTCTCGATGAAGCCACCTCCAATCTCGACGGAGAGAGTGCTGAAATCATCCGTCGATCAATCCAGAAGCTGGTAGCGGCCCGAAAAGGCCTGACGGTGATTCTGATCACGCATGCGAAAGAGATAATGGAAATGGCGGATAACGTCGTCGTCATTGACGGTGGATCGGTCGCGGAACAGGGCCCGTATCATGATCTCATGCAGCGTCCTGGAGGCAAATTGAAAGAGATGCTCGCTGGGCGGCAAGATGAATTAATTTGAAGAATCTTAAGTCCATGGTCTGCAAGTAGTCATTTAGCTGTTTTTGTCCAATCGAGTGATTTCGTTGGCACCTCCGCAGTCAGACCACATGTGTTAATTAATCGACGACCTAGATGCGGAATATTTTTGGGATGGGACGGTTTGGACATAGAAAACTGTTCGATGCCTCACTTAAGGGGATACCTAATTTACCTACCCAAATAGGCAGGCAGATGGTTCGAACTGTGGTGGGCCACAAAGTGCATCTGCCACGCGGTTTATTATGCAAGCACAATTCTTCAACGGGGATTCCTCATAGAAGTTCTACCATCCATGGATGCACTATGGTCGATTAGCTAATAGTGAATCTGAGAAATCGAATAACAGTACAAATTACTGCATTTGATTCCACTTTTTAAAGTGGCCCCTTCATTAACCCAAGAGCTGATTTGCATGTACGTCAAACTGCTAAAAGAAACTGCTAAAGGTAGTACACCTGTTTTTTTAAAAAAAAATTCTCTCCAAGCTGGTAATAATTTCAAGTGGATCAAATGCAGGATTACCAGTAATAATTACGGAGTAGACGGTGGTCGAGGTTACGTCGGAAGGCCGAGAATTTTCTAAAAATGGATCCGCCAGCGGAGGTTCCAAGACTCTGGAAGTGTCAACCGCACGGGAGGCCTGAGACCGGCACCTCCCTCAGCTCTTAGGTACCTCAGCTCTAGTCAATTGTTGCACGATGCTGTGTTTTCTTTTGACAGTAATCATTAACATGCCAGTTAATAATAATGATGATGATGATGCTCTATTGCATCCATCCATGCCGACTCTTGACTGTTGAATTCTTTCTTGTTTGTTTGCTATCCAGGCATGGCTGTCACCAGGCTATTATTATTTCTTCGAGCAGGGCTTAGCTGGTGGAGTCTGACAGCGAATACCAGCCACTAGGGTCTCTGCTGGAGAAGCAAACAGTTTCACGACTCACGACTCAGCATTCACTCTTTAGTTGCATCCAGCGTCAGCCACAATGCAATCAAAGCGACTAATGACAGAGCCTGGCTTGGCCAATTACCTAGCATTAGCGTCTCTATCTCTGCAACCTGCTCCAGCTTGACTGTCCGACCACATCAGTGTTTTTTCTCTCTTGTGTAAGTGTCGCGCAGGCAGCTTTCCACCTGTCTTACGTTGGTCCATTCTCGCTGCTCTTGCCTTCAATCCTCATCTTCCACTGTTTAATCTTGACCCTCTGTCGATCACTGTGTCATTTGTGGGCCATTCATCTAAACAGCCTTACGATAGCTCATTATCTTGGAGCTGCGGAGACAGTGATTGACACCACAGCTTATCGCTGCTGTTCTGCCAGAACTCGAGTCAGCTATAGGCTCTTCCACATATCACCAACGCTTTAACAACAAAGCAAGCTGCATACACATCTCTAGTCGATGGATTCATGACATTGTGACTCCCCTCCAGGCGTGAAAAATGCGCATTCCCTTGCAGCAGCGCCAGCAGCTCCAAGCCCGCCAGGACGACGGGTCAAGTAACCACCTCCAGGTCGAGACCATCGTAAGTTTGCTTTCCCCTTCCGGGTCGTGAGGAGATTAGAAATCTTTGCCAATCTCTGATTATCATCTCAGGTGGCGGTTGTCTTGATTCTCGCTATAATTTGGATCCTTACAGCCTTCTACTTCATACGGCGTCTTCGCATTAACAACTGTGCACCTAAGTTACTCCCCGGGAAATTTCTAAAGCGGAAATGGAACGAATGGACTCCCGGAACGTCACGACGGTATGGACAGGTCCCGAATGGAGTGTGCAACCGCGACGAGGATACGACCTACAATGGAGCCGCCTCGGAAGAGCCGGGTACGAACTCGAACGCTCCTCAGCGGATGACGTCCATCCGTTCCATCATCACGCTTCCTGCTTACTCGCCTGTCCCTAAGCCAACGGAGCAGGTCATCGCTCGAGAAGGGGAGCGTGGAGGCATGGATGTTGTTGTCGAGTTTCCCGAAACGGCTGAAGAGGAAGAGATGCGCCGGGAAGAGGAAATGGAAGCATTGTATCAGATCCGCCTCCGACGACGACAGGAGATCGCAGAGCGGGAAGAGCGTAGACGGCAACGCCAGGAGGCCCGTGCCCGGGGTGACTATGAGCGACTGGAGCAGCTCAGTCGCGAAAGTAGGGCTGCCCGGAATCAGAGCACAGCAGCGGCCATGCTGGCAGAGCATCAGTCTCGCGGGCGTGAAAGGCGTGTCTCAGCCGTCTCCTATGCCGACCTGGGCCATGTCCGGCACGATGGCTCCCGCATTCGCGCCTGTTCAGCCGATTCTGACCAACGCCCCTTGCTCGACTCCGTGTCGGCGATCGGGACGGACGCCAGCAATTCGATTCGATCGCAACCTGCTATCTCTCATGTGTCCACCCAGATTGGCCCAGACGATGGCGACGTTGGCATGTCTCAGATCCCCCCTCCGGACTACGACGAAATCGACTGGGGCGAGGCACCACCGTACGAAAGTCCGGTGGCAGATCGCGAAGAGGACACTCCACGTCTGCCGACGATCGAGCGCTTACCAACCATCCGCATCGACTTGGCGAGTCCGCTGAGCAGTTCAGCAAATACACCTGCACCCAACTCACCAGTGAGCGCTGGTCAGACGCAATCAGAGTCATCGGACGCCACCCCTCATTCCCCATCTTCGCATCCGTAGTCGACTGTCTCGTCGAGACTGTCCTCTTTCACCTTCTATGTTTTTCCAATGCGTGATACTCGGGCATAGTATCTGAGAAGATTTGAAATGGCTTCAATTATCTTTTTCACAAGACCTCCCTCTTTCCACCCTTTGGCGTCCTAGGTGAGAAAATTTTTTTAGGGTTTCTGAAAGCCGCATGGCGTTTGGCGGAGCTTTTTGATTTTTGGCATTCCATGGAATCTGGAACTTTGCACGTGAGATTCTGCTTGATGATGATGATGATGATTATGACTTACCTGCGTATTCTTTACCATTCCCCTCTGTACATGTACTTCAAGGCGACTTTCCTGTGTAAATATGGTGGTTTTTTTAAGTGTTCCATGCACTGTGACGTGCATTACTGGCATGGAGGGACAGCTACAGGCCTCCATTTTCTTATTTTTTTCCCGAGCAGTGATGATATGAATGCTCTACGTCCTCCCACACTATTCAGATTTTTCTTCCACATATAATGAACCTTGGGATCTTTCTTGGTTTCTTTCCATTTGTCATTTTTGGAGCGAGTCAGAGTCAACTTTGGTGGCTTATCTTCCTAGGGTAATCATGTAAATATCAATTGCTTGGCATTTGACATCTCGAACTGAGAGAATAAGGAATGACGAATGACCATGAGAGTCTCCCCTGTCTAGTAAGATTAAATCTTATTATTCAACCTAGGATCTGTCCTTGGATACAGTTAAAAAAAAATATTACTCTGGCGAGTGTGCTTCCTGGACAAAGAGCAACCAACGGAACCCATATCTTCTATATATCACTCAAAGAAAACCAACAGAGCTAGACCCTGGTCCAAGCATCAATCGACGCCCTTGATTCTTGTACAGTATTCTTAGCATATCTGCACTCTCATTCAAAAAAAATACTGCTATAAAAGACTGTATTACATATCTACATTGGTAAACACATATGTAGAAAGATAAATAGTATATTGGGTTTGACATACAATTAACCGCACAACTTACTGCTGCTCAACGTCCTTGTAGGAATTTTTGAGCCGAAGTAACCATATGGAGAGAGCGAACAGTATCTCCTTCTGATTCAGAGCCTGATGAATTATTATATGTTGCAAGCGACGTGTTGGCCACGGATTAGATCTAATTAAGGCAGTGCTTGCCCGCCTCGAGCCACGGCACTCACCGACCCGCCAGCCGCCAACCAAAGTGTTCCGCCCACGCAAAACGTAAACAAACCCAGCCAAACTACCTAAATTACTGGACTAACGGCTTCGCTCCCGGACCGACAACAACTTCCCACGCTTGTCGAGCCAGCGAGCTTGTCATTCCATCGACGCGCCATTGATACCGCGGATTAATTGTACCGGGTGCTGCGGCTTATTTACTGCGCATTATCCTACTCGTTTATTGTTGGTTCACCTTCATATTTTGTTTTTTATTTGGTGCAACACGCTACAAGAAAGAGACGGGTAACGCGTGTTGTCGCCTATTTCGATCCCAACACGAGCAGAACTAATCCACATAGCACAACAAAGGACTCGAGGAATAAGGCGCGAACTTCAGCCCATGGGAAGCTATTGAACTTCGAAGTTTACCTGATAACTGAATTCGTTCAACATGGCGCGCGAGTACAATACGCGACACGAAACAACGCACACGTCGATAGGCGACTCCTCGCTGTCGGACTTTGACCCGGAGCATGAAGCCCTTGTTTCGACTAGGCAGCTTGATAACAGCGATAAAGTCTCTGACCAACAAGGCAGTGTACAAGGAAGTTCAAGGAAGAATCGCACCTCCCCGCGTCAAGAGCCAGACTACGCTATCAATACGTCCGCCATCGAGCGAGCGTTTCCAGAATTTTCCGATGTCGAGAGTGAAGAAGAGGAAGAAGAAGATGATGACATTTCAATTGAGGTGGGACGAGGGTCTAAGAAACCTGAAAATCGACTGGACGATTCTCGCAACTCAATGATGAGCATTGAGAACAGTGTGCGCTCGTCTTCACCGGCCGTTAGAGTCGACTATCCTCCTTCTTCGCACACGCCCCCGAAGTCTGCACTGCGCAGCTCCTCAAAGCGAGTGAATAGTTCCGACAATCTCCGCAAGGATGCTCAGATCAGGCGCGCGAGTCAGGCACAGAAGGAGAACGTCGACCCGCAGCCAAGCAAATCAAAGAATTCAACCGTTTCTGGGACTCGCAGTACTGAGCAGCGGCGTACTCTGTCGGAGATGCATGCAAAGGTTCGCGAGACATATGAGGGCTCATACATCAGTGATGAGAGACCCCAAAACATCTCGGTAAACGCACGAACAACCCGCTTCGGATACAGAGACGTCTCGGCTCAGGTCGCGGCGGCCGTGGACCAAGCTTCTCGCGAAGCCCTCTTAAAGGAAGGTCGTCGCGGGAAGCTTGCTGCGAACTCGCGGAATGTCCCTGCCAACGGGACATACACGACAAATACATTTCCTGATACTACCGCCCACCACTCGTTTCTTCTCCCTGACCTGCCAAACCTTTCGGAACTCGTCTCCGGAGTCTATGAGGATGGCACACCCGTTTTCCCCCGCCAGAGCAAATCGCGGACTACGCGTTTTGTCTCCCCATCGGGTGGAGCTGCAGATCTCTCCCAGACTCAGGATCATCTGCCGGTTGACTCGGTACCCATTCCAGAAGACGAGAAGGCCCTGTTCGTTTCTTTGAAACTCCTTCAGGACAAAGTGGCGGATTTGGAATTCGCTAAGTCCGAAGCCGAGAGGAAATTGGATGCTGTTCGACAGGAAAATGCGTTGTTGAAGGCTGAGAAATCTCGTCGCCAAAAAGAGCAATATGATCGCCTAAAGACGGGAGACGAAGAGGATCAAGGAAGAAGCAGCAGAAGGTTGCTGCAAGAGAAAAATAGTACGTAATCGTCTTCCCTTCAATTTCATCTTTTGCTAACATCTACTGTCTAGGGTTGGAAGCGGCGAATTTGGCTCTGCAGAACAGCCTTGACATCGCGGAGCGAAAGATTCAAGTTCACGAAACGACGCTTAAGAACTTGTCGCGTGAGCGAGATTCGGCCGTGTCTCAGTTGGGTGTCGCTTATCTCAATGCTCAGGACTACAAGAAGGAGAATGAGGCATTGCGGAGAGAGAACGCAGAGCTGAGGGCTCAGCTTGCGAAGTTGACTTCGTTATCTCAGAAACTGGGAGGTTACGAAGGCGACACTCGTGATTCAACGAATCAGAAGCATTGGGAGGCAGATGCCATGGCAGCTGATAACAACGATGACAGCCAAATCCATACCCAGCGCAGTGTCGAGTCGACCCGACGCGGTCGCGAACAGTCCAGAAACCAGGATCGGGGCTCAAGGGCCGCACCGCCGGAGGCTAGGATTTCCAGCCAAATTGAGAAGGAGATTTCCAAGATCGAGAAAGAAAGGCAGGATGAGGAATTGTTCTCCCTCAACCTGTCTCAACCTACCCGCGCTTCCACACATCTGAAATCTTCTCAGTCTCCCGGTCATGCCAAGACAGAAAGTGCTGAGAGCAAGAAACAGCCAAATACCGGCAAGCAACGAGTTAAACGTGTGATCGTTGAGGAAACCAACACGAGCGAGCCTCTTGACGTGAACTTAGATAACTTGACGGAGGACGCTCGAAACCAAGCTTCCGCCGACCAGGACGTGACGTTTTTGAGCTTTATTGATGTAAGTTGTCATGATACCCCCTTCTTTCCCCCCTGTCATGTACTCATAAACTTTTAGGCTCGTGAGATAGCTCAGCTCCGCAAGACCCTCGAAGAAGAGAGGGCAGCCCGGAAGCAGCGACAGTCTTTGTCGAAGGAAGTTGCCGCCAATGCATCTGTCGGACCCAGACGTCAATCTGGACAGGTCTCTGAACATTCACGGAAACCCTCACTGAAGGAGACCAAGGAAAAGGTGCCCCGACCTTCATCAGCGATCGGTGAGACTACGGCTACTGGTAAAATCGACTTGGATGGGCAGGATGATCAAGCGGCCTCTGAGCGCCGAAGACGCCATTCCGACAATTCTATTCCCACCCACAGCCGGCGTCGAAGGCCCACGGCGGAGATGACATCTGCCTTTATTCTTCCTGACATTACGCTTCGTTATGCAGACTCAGAAGCCCATCCAACTGCAAAACTTTCTGAATCCGCGCAGAAGGTGTTGAATAGCGTTGCTCGACATGATGGGAAGAATTGTACAGTGTGCAAACGTCTACTCCCTAACGGGGCCTCTCACGACCACGAGCATGGAGACAATCGGAAGACTATTACGATTCCTAAGCCCGTTCCAGTCTCACAACGCATGCCTGAGCCATCCGCTTACAATGAGGAACCCACCATGCGCCCATCACAGCCACCTGCACTCGCCCTTGCAACGGTGCTCAAGAGCTTGGAAGATGAACTGGCACATCTCAAGATGCAGCTTGCAACTTATCAGAGTGCCTACACTAAGCATGACGCATCGCTCAGCAAACGGCAGAGGAAGTCTCTGTCCAAAAGAATCGAGAAATTGTTGAAGGAAGTCGACACAAAAGCAGATCAGATCTATGCGCTGTACGACGTCCTTGAGGGACAGAAGCAAGATGGCCACGAGATGACCGAACATGAAGTGGAAGTGACTCTCCAGTCGATTGGAATTGATATCAATGCAGGAAGAACGGCTGATTTGACTGGCGCAACGGATGAGTCAACTCGCAAGAAATCTGAGGCCCCTGATGACACTGAAGATGTTGACGATGAATTGCCCTGGGAGGGGTTTGAGAGCACCGTTGAGGTAACTGGCCGAAGTGTTGAAAGCGGACGGAATGACTAGTTGCGAAGATGGACACTTGAGATGCATATGATTTTTGTCCGGGTTTATGGCATGAGTTGTCGACATTTTATACTTTATCGTTCCTTTACCATTTTTTCTTCTACCATTGTCTCCATTTCAGATTTTCTTTTCTGTCATTACCTTGCCATATATCCTCATGGCAGAGTCTGAATGAATGTTGCTTACTGGAACGATCCCACGTCAGGTTCAAGACTGACCTCTTCATTGGAGGTGGATGTCCCTGTGTGGTAGAGCTTCCGGTTAAGTGATCGTGGGTTGGCGTTTGACTTGCTTGGCAAGGACGAGCTTGTCCGCGAACTCATCATATTCAGATTCAGCTTTTGTGTACACTTGGAACTCAAGTTCTTGTTCGTGTTGACTGATCCTTGTTGGGTGTATGTCCGCGGAGGGAACCTTTACAGTTTGGTGTACGCGAATGAGGATTTGTGGGATGCAAGGTTTGGGTTATTAAGATCATATTACGGGTTTCTTGAGAAAGCGTCTTTCCTTGAGGTCTCATTTTCCTATTAAGGTATTATCGCGTTCTGAGCTTATTCATTTTGGGCGTTGACGTGTTTGGGTTGGAATTCATTCGAGTTTCTTTTTTTACTTGGACACACACACGGACACACACGCAAGGCAAATTGGAGCATCCATTGTATTGTATGGCATTCTTCCGTGTCTCTTCTTTCTTCTCTTTCTGTGGTGATAGGTGATACTTTTTTTTCTCGAAAGTATAGTCAATATATTTCCGGTTGTCATGGGCAGTACTCTGAATATGTTACATAGTGAGGGATGGTATGAATCAATCAGTGCTGCTGCGGTAATTCATGCATTTATTATCTTCCTGACTCCCAAATATCTATAGATAATGGGTTAGTTAGGTATATGAATATGATATACTACTTCCGAAAAAGGAAACTGTGATATTGTAACATCACAAACCAAACAAAAAATATCTGATAAGGAGTGCCCTCTTTCCCGGAGAAACCCCAAGATTTTTTTTCCCCCGCCAGGTAGAAATGGGTTCTGCTGTTATTGTCATGGTTATGGTTATGGTCATGGTTATGCATGACAACAATAACAGTTACAGACAGACTGGATATGTCATGACCTGACCGGACCTGTATTGTATGTATCTTGTTTCTCATCTCACATTGTTCTTTTCTTTTCTAGGCCCCTTCCTCTCTTCGAGTGTCTTAACTAGCTATCGACAAAGAAAAAAAATTAAATTCAGAACCCAGCCCCTGGCCCATTTCGAACTGCTCTAGCAAACCATATCGTTTTAAATGAACCCTAAGAATAAATACCGTTAACTCCGTCGCTATGCTCGCAGATTCCGATCCAATAGACAAGACATGAAGATAGATAGTAGAAAAAAAATTCAAGAGATATCTATCCCAGATATGATGTTTGTGATAATAGGCAGGAAGATCGATCAAACAGCATTCCCGACCGATGAAGCAGCGGTAACAGCAGCGGCAGCTCCCTCGGTAGCCACGGATTTTGACAGGGCCAAACCAGCGGTGTCTCGTTTGGGGATCTCCTCGTCAATAAAGCAGCCAAGTCCCGCAAAGGCTTCGAGTAGCGTTCTGGAGTAGTATTCCCTCAAATCGTAGCCACCGGCCTGCATGCGCACGTCGTCGCGGATCCGATCGAGCCAGCTCGATGGGTAGCGATCCTGCAACACGTAGTAATCCCGTTTGCCGGGCTCCAGACCGCCGAACGGATCGTACGGCTTTTCGGGCTCCGGGGCTTTGGCTTTCTTGAGACCTTTGATGAAGCCCGTGTCTTCCTCGCCGCCCGCGGTGTCTGCGGTCGTGACCGGTTGACCGGCGGCAGCCGCCCTCTTGGCTTCTACGCTGCGCAGGGCAGCCTGCTTCTGGCGCATCCGATCTTCCTCGCTGCGTCTGGCCGAGGATTTCTTGAGAAGGACTTTCTGGCCCTCTCGTGCGATTGAGGAAGCGTCGCCGGGTGAGCCAGCGGCCAGACGACCCAGGACATCCTCCCGGCCGGCCAGCATCTCGCGCCGTTCATTCTCATATTCTTGCCGGGCGGCCTGGCGGCGGAGGCGGGCCTGTTCCTGCTCGAAGGACTGTTGCTCCAGGAAGGATGCTGCTTCCTGGGATTCGCGGACCTGGTTGGCTCGTATCGAGTCCATGTTGGCGGCTGCGTATCTCTTGAGGTCCGACTCGGTCTTGGCAACATCTATGCCGTTGACCAGGTTGGAAATGATCTCTTCTCGCTGCTCCAGGAAGTCATCGTACGCTCGTTTGCTGTCGAACTCGTCTTCTCTGCGGTTCAGGCTAAAAGACCAGTCAACTCTGTGAATCGCAGAAGACGGACTGATTGCAAATCATACATCTGCATGACCCTCTTCCGAATGTCGACCTCCCTTTCAACGCTGATATCCTCAAAGGTCTGCTTTCGGAATCGGTTCTTGCGCAGCGTCTTGTGGCAACCGGCTACCGGACAAGGCGCGGGTCCCGACGAGAAGATGCGGTCCACGCAGGACTCGCACATCTTGTGATAGCATTCTGGATTGATGAGGAACCGCATGTCCGGGTTGAGGTATCGCGAGGACTTGCAGACCGGACATACTTCTGCATGAGGCGATATGACATGTTAGCTTGATTCATGGTCCCTCGGCAAGAGAACATGAAAAGAAAGGTGAGACTCACCATCCTCCTCCCCACGGTGGCTCACACCATTGCGCTGAACAGACATCGTCACCTAACTTGGAGGCTAAAATGAGAAGGTGGCCAGAGTGAAGAGAGTCGATGCTCTCTCATTGAATGATTGCCTAAGAAGAGCTTCTGGACGTGCCTGCGGAAGCTTGGGCGGCTGACCAATCGGGGCGGGGCATTTCGCCTCCGTCCGCAAAAGTCCCGCGAGAGAGATCCAGATTCTTCCACCCAACGCCTGCCCTATATATTATTACCTACGCTTGTGGCGTCAACAAGCCTCTCGGGACAATGGCGACAGTTGATGATACGATAGCGGACCTTGAGCGCCAACGTCTTCAACTGGAAGAAAATGTCCGCAAATTACAGCAGTCACTCTACCACTGGCGACTCTGGGAGGCGGAATACGACGGACTGAAAGAAGAGATCGCGTCCCTCAAAGATGGCAGCACGAAGGACGATATTTTGCGGAAGGGCCGCGAATTCGCCGGCACCGTGGTCGATGAGAAAGAGGTCAAAGACCTCATCGGAGAAGGACAGGGCCTTACACGATCTCGGGACCAGGTTGTTCAGCGCATATCGCGAAGGTTAGACTACGTGAAGCAGAATGTTAGGTCGATGGAAAAACAGCTAGAAGCGGCAGAAACCAAACTGGACTCGTTTCTGTCAGTTGAACATCCAGGTCCTATCACCAAGGATGCAGAATTTCCGGTGACGGAAATAGTTGAAGAACTGGATGAGGAAGGCAACGTGATATCGGGCAAGACGACTACCCCTGGAGAACGTGCACCTGAGCTTCTCGAAGTGTTAAAGAAGGTTGGAATAAATGATATACCGAACAAGATTTCGGACAAGATTTCGAAAATAGGGGCACAAGCGAATAAGTCTGAGGGAAAGGCTCTAGAAGAGAAGACTCTAGAAAAGAAGGCCCTAGAAGAAAAGGCTCCAAACGAAGAGTCCTCAGACGAAGAGGTCCTAGACGAGAAGGCCGCAGAGGAGAAGGCCGCAGAGGACAAGGCTGCAGAAGAAAAGGCTAGCAGAAGAAAAGGCTGCAGAAGAAAAGGCTGCAGAA